CGGTAAGAGGTAGCCGAAATTCCTTCACCGACCTGCTCAAAACAACTCTTTGCTACCGGACTTCAGCCACGTTATGCTGCTAGACCAAAATGGCAGCCCCAAAACCCCCCCGCCCCCAACGCATGGCAACGAACGCGTGGCCAATGGGCCCGGGTGCCCCACCGGCCGTGGTGCTAACCGTTTGACCTGCCACCAGGCGGCAAAAGGACTCAGGGCGTGCAGCGTTTCGATCAAATCGCAACATAAAGGCTACAGCAGCAGGACCATGGCGGTAGCAGGGTCAAGAAGGCAACAAGGGCAGGCCAAAGAAGCATGTCAAGGGAAGCGCTTGTACCGGCTAAGAGGTGCAAGGGAAACTGCCCCACACTTCATGCATGAGATCTACCTGGCTACTTTATTTGTCTTTGCCACAGCTAGCAGCAAGCTGAAACGGCAACGCGCAAATTGGGACCTTTGACAACATGCTGCCCATGCACTTGCCGCCTCTGGCGGTGGGGTCGGAGATTGCCTTCGTGTCTTGGCCTTGCAAAGCACAGCAATTCCGGAAGCCCCTTGCGCCCACACCCAGTGAGTAGCATTGAGTATTGATGCGCTCAAGCCCTCCCGATGTACGCCTTCTCCTCCCAGTCAGACATCTCTGGCAATGCAGGCACAGCCTCAACAGGCATGCTCGCAGAACATTGAAAGCACTTCTTGGACTGTGGGTCCAGGCATGGGCGACGCCCAGTTGGGTGACAAACGTTTGTCCCTGCAGCAATCAAGCTATGCGAGATTTCAATGCAAAACTCTTGGAGATTTTGGCAGTTCGATAGGGCAGAAATAGGCGCTGGCAGCACTCTGAACGCTGCGATGACTGCGCTTGAGAAACTGCAGCCCACAATGGGCGCAATGGCCCTGCCTGGTCAGAGGCATTGCACTCTTTCGAGGTAGGCCTGGCGCTGTCCGATTTGAGATATGCCTTTCGCCCAGAGGCCTTCCTTGCAAAGCCGGACCTGGTGCAGCAAGCAATGCCAGCGAGACGTGACAGTGGGGAAGAATGATGCGCAGCACAAATGCACACGTCGCCTTGGCCAACAAGTTTCAAACAGCTGGTGTGCACGCAGCGTGCCCTAGTCAGAATACCATGCTGATTGGCTCCTTTGCACGGCGCCAATCCCTGCAAAAGTACAGTAGTGAAGCGGACTAGATTCGATGAATCACGCTGCAGCTTGCCATGAGCTGTCGGCTCAAGTTCCCTGGCTTGCTTGTTCGTGATTTTCGCCTGAGCACATCTTTGGCGTCTCTGATGATCCCTTCAAGGCCAAGTCAAAGCAAATACAAACATTTCTCGCCCAGACCAGCCCCAGCCTTATTAGGGGGTCAACAAGTGCTGGTTAAACTCTCAACCTCCCTTAGCTCACGAAGTCGACGGGGTCCACCCATGCGCAACGCGGCATAGCCGTTATCTTAACTCTCGAGCCCTGTTTGGCAAACACTTCACACAGTAGGAAAGGCAAGTGCAAATTGAAAAGTCGCTTACAGTCCCTTCGGACGCAAGCAGTCTCTGCACGGTGTGTGTCCACACATCTGCCAGCCCCCGACGTGTCTGCCCCGAACGTGGAAGCAGTTCCCAAACCTCGTGACCACGATCTCGTGGGCGACAAGCCACCGTTGCTTTCTCGCCCCTCTTCTCATTCTTCAGCTTCTCAATCGCACTCATTCTTCAGCATCTTTGTCTCTCTTTGGCCGTCTTCTTCTTCACTGAAGGTCTCAGGGTAGACCTGCTGTCGGATAGAGATCTGACCCCGCGCCTTTTTGCGTCTGGCACCGTAATGTTCGTCCTGGTTAATACTGCGTCTCCCACACCATTCACACGTGCCGACCTGACCTCTTTTTGCCCAAGCTGTTATTGATCAAGGCACAAACATTGGCTAGTTGTGCCTGTGCCGGGCATCACGCACGTATTCCCGCGCGCGAAGCACGCGGTCACTGCCCCTATCCCCCCCCCAATCACCCCACACTGCCCCCCCCCAAACAGAAACAATCCCCGCTGACTGGCGATTGATCTTGAAGTTGCGGCGCATCAAACAAACCTACAATCATTCCCCCCACCCCACCCCACCCCACCCCACCCCACCCCACCCCATATAATTACTTTGCCGAAGACCATCGCCCTACCCCACCCCCACCCCGCCCCACAAGCGCTGCAGCTCCGTAAGCGTCACCATTGGCCCCACCCACCCCACCCCAACAAACCCCAACAAACCCCAACAAACCCCAACAAACCCCAACAAACCCCCAAAATTGCAATATTCTGCGGGGTCGTTTTGATCGACTCCAGCAAAAGGAAAACACGCAGGCAAGCAAAGCGATGTCATGGGGCGAACTCACTGCGGAGCAACTACCCTATCGGTGCGTCGAGTGAATCCATATTCCATGCCCAGCCTGCGTGTGGATGTTTCTGGTGGAAGTAAACCCTTCACCTTCGCCAGTGCAGCAGATTTGATTTCATTGGCCCGGGATTGTCTTCTGCTGGAAACGATTAGTCTCTGCGCCATTGACAAATCCACCCTATTGATGCAAATTTACTTTTCCCGACCCCAAATCTCCCAATACTACATCTCCCAATACTAAATTAGAATTGGCCAATACTAAACCAATTCTAAACTCCTGGATTTCCCGTCGACCCTGGCTGCAGTCGCGTTCTGGGGGCCATGTTGTAAGCAGCTCTGGACCATACTAAACCCTCACAAAATCAGTATTAGGCAAAGCACCTCCAAACTAAAGCAAACCGACAAAAAACGCACTCAATTCACATTGGCTGTAAAATCTCAAAGTGACATCCCCTGGCCAGAAAGTGGACCCTATTGATTAATAAAAATGCTGAGCCTCCGGGCACTGTGTTTCCCCAGATAGCTGAAAGCTATAGGGGTTCTAACTTCTAATAAAGAGGGGGAAGTGATTTGCGAGATTGATGAGCTGGTGCCAAGGGGCGTGCAGTTTGGGGTGCTGGTTTTTGCGGATTGGGGTGCTGTTTGAGGTGCTGATGGCAGTGCGGGCGCATCTTTTCAAGATTGACGGTAGGGTGCTAGGGGGCATGCAGTTTGGGGGTGCTGGTGCAGGTGCTGTTTTGGGGGTGACGGTGTTTTTGCATCTTGACGGTAGGGTGCACGGGGGCATGCAGTTTGGGGTGCTGGTGCTGGTGGTGTTTTGGGATGCTGTTTGGGGAGCTGTTTGAGGTGTTGGTGACGGTGCGGGCGCAATGTGCGATATTGACGCCCGGGTGTTATCGGACATGCAGGTGACGGTGCAGGCACATTTCTGCATCTTGACGGTAGGGTGCAAGGGGGCACGCAGCTTGGGGTGCTGGTGCAGGTGGCGTTTTGGGATGCTGTTTGGGGTGCGGCTGGGTGTCTGGGGGGGTGCTGTTTGGGGTGCTCTTAGGGTGACGGTGCAGGCGCATTTTTTGCGAGATTGACGGCAGGGTGCAGGGGGCATGCAGTTTGGGGTGCTGCTGCAGGTGCTGTTTTGGGATGCTGTTTGGGGTGCTGTTGGAGGTGCTAGTGATGGCGCGGATGCTCGATTGACGGCCGGGTGCTGTTTGGGACGCTCTTCGGGGGGTGATGTTGGTGGTGCTGGTGTGCAATCATTGCTATCTGGGGTCTATGCTGGTGTAATTTGTTTGCTTTTTTCCCCAGATAGCTGAAAGCTATAGGGGTTCTAACTTCTAATAAAGAGGGGGAAGTGATTCGCGAGATTGATGGGCTGGTGCTAAGGGGCGTGCAGTGTGGGGTGCATTTCGAGCAAACATTGAACATGCAAGACGCATGCAACATGTGCGCTGTATTGTTCTGGGCCTTTTGTATATGTTTTGTGTGCAATGCATACTCTGTGCTTGTTTGTTCTGTGCCCTGTGTGCATTTTGACATGCAGTTCTGTTCGGATATCCTTTCCTGCATTGGTTCTGGTTTGATTTGTTGACTTGTTTTTCCCCAGATAGCTGAAACCTATAGGGGTTCTAACTTCTAATAAAGCAGGGAAGTGATTCGCAAGATTGACAGCTAGGTGCTAGGGGGCAGTCTGGGGTGCTGGTGTAGGTGAGATGCTGTTTGGGGTGTTGTTTCAGATCCTTTTGATGGGGTGGGCGCATTTTTGCGAGCTTGACGGGGAGTGCTGTTTGGGTGCTGTTTGGGGTGATGGTGCGGGCGCGCTTTTGCGGTTGATATCAGGGCGTCTTTGCTGTTTGGGGTGTTGGTTGAGGTGCTCTTGGTGCAGTGCTGATAGAGTTTCTGCCGTGCAATCATTTGCGCGTGTTTCGCTATCTGGGGTCTATGCTGGTGTATTTTTATTTTATTGTTATTTATTTATTTATTTATTTTTTTTGGGGGGGGGCTGGGGGAGATGTTTGCTTTTAGGGTGATAAGATTAGCGGGTTTCAAAGTGAACCTCCATGTAATTTTGCAGGACTGACGTGCGCGGAGTTCTCCAAAGCGCATCGCGTCAAGCATGTTTGGGGCGGAATGTGTGCTGTAGTGGCCACTCAAAAACATATTGATTAAAGGTGTGATGTCCAGCAAGCGCAACGAAAAAGTCTTGCTGGCTCACCGAGGCTATTGAAAATAAGCTAAGCCTTGGGATAAACTAAGACGTGTGTGCGTGTGTGTGCGTCGACGTCCAAAGGCCAAGTTTATCCTTCCCCGCGCGCGCCTGCATCTGATGAAGGCCATCCCATCGATCGAATGACGGATGGCTGATTCCAATGAGAGCTGCATCTGTGATTCTCCCTAAGCAAAGTCTGTCCCCACAAGGATGGAATCTGTACTGTACTCTACTTAAAATCATCTTTTCACAGGTTGACATGAGTGAAAAATGAGTGCTCATTCTCCGGCCAAATCCGCGCAGTAGGGCACCATGAAAATGTTCTCGTGTTGGCAAGCTATGGTCTCTCCTGCTTGCCAGTGGCCATTCAGTGCAACAAGAAGGAGCATCTTGCACAGACATGACAAATCAGCCAGAGATACCGTAGAGATGCATACACCTGCAAGATCCAAGAGTTCAATCGGCACGCTACTATTGATGTCCAGCTGTTCAATGAGCAACCTAATGACACATGCCCTGTTTGATACGTTCAACGATGGGTGACGCAAACATGCAAACATGTCCGAGCCATAGATCATAGATCATAGATCAGGAGAGGGTAACAATGGCTTCACATGAAGCCGATTCGGCGAGCCTCGACAGCAAGTCAGCAGGGACACCAAGATCAGGAACTGGCCAAATCCGGGCCGAGGGGCCGAGGGGCCGAGCGGCATGCTACCCCTGTGCTTCTCAACTCCCGTGAAGCCCGTCAGGCGTGCTGTGGCACAAGCTGTGGGAGTCCGGGCTGCCCTCTGGGATGCCCGCAGCTCATCGAGATACCTCTCGGAACCAGGCCCAACTGCACAAGACTCAAATACTGCAATTTGACGCTTCAAGCGCTTGCAAACTCTGAAAGGCAACTGATGCAGCGGATGTTGCGTGATAAAATTCAAGCAAGTTCCTGCTGACACTTCAGTCTGATGCCAGAACAAAATGTCTGGATTGCAAAGCCACTCTTGATGCCAAGTCACTGTTGTACAGTGTGATTTGCATTGGTGGGATATGTTATCAGGAACAAGAAACTGAATCTGGGCAAGAACGACCACTGATACCCGAGACTTTCTGACGGTTTGGTACGAACACGTGTATGTTGGTAGAACAAATACCGACTAGTACAGCGCATGCTTTGTACGCCGTGTTTATTCTTCTGTGTGCACCTGTGCATGTAGAGCCTGGCAGCCACCACTTATCTTCTTCGGAGAAAAGGTCTGAGCTTGTCAATCATGCAAAATAGAGCTGAATGCAAAATAACCTTCTTTCGTGGCCAAAAAGGCTGGTACTCCTGTCGCTGCTCCCAAGAAGAGCTGGACAACACGCAGGCAAGAAAAGGCCAGGCCAAAAACTCTCGTTCGGAGGGGAAACAGTGGTCATCTTAGCCCATAAATCTCATGGTGCCAGCATCTTAGACCTGAAGTCTAAGAGGGAAGTAAGCACGCTTAGTCAGCTCTTTAAAAAAAAATAAAAATAAAAAAAACGTGTCTGTACACAAACTGCCTGACTTTCAGAGCAAAACTCGAGATGGTGCGCCGCGCCGTGTGTGTGCGCGGATGACGGCAACAGCGAGCAAAAGTTGCCGTGGAAAAGCTTGAGCCATGTGGTACAAACGCATGATAAATGTACATGCCCCCACACAAAAAATCTCGCCTGGCCTGTGGCGAAACTAAAGACATACTTAGTGAATGTTTGTGACTTTGTTCACAGGCACTCGATTCTTGCAAGCCACTGGGATGAACTGCGTTTCACTGTCAATATCTTGGTTCACCTGTAACACCAACACTGTCTTTGTCCTGCCTTGGTGACTGTGTGTTCATTATGAGTCTTTCACGTATAACGCAAGCGCTGCACGGGTACGCGTAACTACGTGATCGCTGTGACTGTTTCACCTGTAACACAAACGCTATTGTTGTCCTGTTTGGGTGGCGCTTGCGGATTCATTCTGAGCGTTGCACTTGCAACACGAACATCGGCCTGCGTGAGTTCTTGTGACTGCGTGTTCGTTGTGAGTGTTTCACCTGCATCATGGACGCTATCATTGTCCTGCGTGGCTGCTCGTGACTGCGTGTTCAAGTGTTTTACCTGCAACACGAGCACATCATCGTCCTGCTTAGGTGCTCCTGACTATGATTCGACCAAGAGTGTGAAGTGTGTATATGTCATAGACACGCCCACATCTATACATGTATGTACTTATATATATATATATAGCAGTAAATGTGTATATCATATATGTGCACATGCCCGCGTCAGCACTCCTTCTAGGAAGCCGCCAAGCCTGGGGGCCAAGTCATTGCTAATTCAACCCCACCCTGAAGCCAACTTACAACAATTCCACATTGGGGTTCCCCAAGGACTCAAACAGTGTCGCGCAGAAAAGACCGTGAGCCTCCGGTCAATTCCACACCAACCCTCTATGCCAACCCCCAACCACACACCGACCCTAAGTCAAAAGTAAACCAGGATCCAATCCGGAAAAAATCCGAGGGGATGGATGTTGGATAGGAGGCTAGACCGATTGTGCCTAAGCATCACGTGTTCCCAGTCAGGCTCGCACCTGCAAAGAAGGATCTCGGCCACTAACGCCAGGATCAAGTAGACCAGCGACAGAACGCCCATGACTGGCAGGCGAATGGAAACAATGCAGAGGATACTGTCTGAGTGTGTGTGTGTGTGTGCGTGCGTGCCAGAAGCAATCCCCCGACATAGTGGAGCAGTGCACTAAACCAGACCATGCCATTCTGAACCTAGAATTCCTTCACTCTCACTCATCAAACAAGGCGTCGGGAGGGCAAATGTCTGGCAGAATGTCGGTGAGGATGCTTGGGTTGTTGTCTCCCAATCGCGCCTACAATTCACTGATTCCTGCTCAGAACTTACTGGTCAAAAGCAATACCTGCGCCATCTTGCCGTTGAAACTGCACAAAGCACTTGTTTTAAAGTCGAAATCAAGAAAGCATCTAATGCGATGTCAAACCATCAAGCAGGAGAAATGCATTGAGCGTGGCGCCTGGCGTTCCTGCAAGCACAAATGAATGTACCTCTGGGCATATTGGGCTTGCATGCTGACAAACATCCTGGCGATAAAATGGGCCTCTGGGTCAGTGCTTCTTATTTGGCGCACGGACAGGAACCAAACCAGGAGAGGATCACCAACACGACACAGAGCGCATCTCCAAGCCTCAGACAGTAGCACACGCAAAAGCCAGTTTGTTCAAGCGGGTACCATTGCAAACCTCCTAGCACTCAGCCTTTTCGAGTGTGATTTGAAGACCTTGCAGGACGTCTAGATTGGCCCCGTCATGATGCCCCCGCGAGGTCAGGCTGGCACCGTTACAGCTTCAGTTGGGTTTGGGCATGCAAAAGGTTGCACAAGCTGCCAGATCAGAGCTACCCACAGTGCCCAATCAAGTCTGCCATTGAATGCTGGGAGCCAGCACCAAGCAGGGGAGAAAATCTGCCACCAGGAGGTGTTGGTCTGGCGCGCCCCAATGTCCAGCTCTTGTGCTCTCTGCTCTCATCTGCTCTCCTGCCTCCCAGCCCAAGGCCACCGACGCGCAAACAATGAGAAGCCCATGCGAGAAGAAGAAAGCCAGCCTGCGGGCATGTCGTGCGTGAGCAACTCTGGTACACATGAGGTGAGTAAGCAATATTGCAAAAAGAAACTGCCACTGTCTAACGGGAAGATTCAAAGAACAGCTACAAAATCCCAAGGGAAGGAGCCTTTGAAACGGGATCTCTCAATGCGCATTGCAAGTTCCTGGCTGCCAGCAGCAGCTGCCGTGTCCGACGAGCTGTCTTCTCCTGCGAGGTTTGATGAACGCTCCAGCGGTGAACATGCATGGTGGTCAGACAGTGGCTCGGTCCTGAGCCGAGTCTATGAGCAGCTCTTGCGCACCTTCCTCGGGAGAATGGAACCGATTCAGCGTCTTGACTTGACTCAAAACCTCAGGCCAACTACAACACTTAGCAAAGTCTGGGGAAGTGAACAGGAAGCTCTGTCATCGTTTAGCACTGCCGGGCTCCAGATTCTTTGACCGCACCAAAGCTGCAAGAAGGCGTGTGCGATTTAAAGCTGACTCGGACGAACCGCTTGGGCACGGCACCGGTTCATACTCCATTTGTGCAGCCGTGGTTGCCCGGCTTGCGGCGTGCCTTGCCGAGCCAAAAACTCTGGCAGGTTAAGTGAGATTGGCAACTTGCCATGCCCCGAACGTGGCGATGCCAACTTGCCAATTTGCTGAACTTGCCCTGCATCACACGACGACAGCAAACGCAATAAATAGCAATGACGCCATCCCAAACCCAGCCTCTCGGCACGCGCAAAATGCCAAGTAGCCTTTTCAGCGAAGCACTGCAAGCGGTAGCGCGAGTGTTGCACAAACCATGCACACCAACCCCATATTGGCTGTATGAAGCGAACTCTTGCCAATGGCCAAATAGGAGCATCCCAATGCAGGTTCTTAGGCAACCCTTGATGCCACCGGCCCTTGGAGCCTCAGCCTGCCAAGGCCATGGCACGCCCACGCGTAGCACCGCAAAAGGAAAGAAGTTGGCGCAAATGACACTGTGAAGTACTGCCATAGTGTTGCTGCTGTTTGAGAAAGACAAAGCATGACACTTGGCGGAAATCAGCTGCAGCTAGGCACTTGCAGACAGTGCTAGCCGCGTGCTGACAGCATTTGTGCCAGCGCAAAGTAGACACGGGTGCAGGGCAACAACAACGAAAGTTGCTCATGACAACGCAGCGTTTAGGCTCGTCCACGCTTGAACTGTGGATGTTATCTGACAAGGCGCCACATGCGCTTATGCTAACTTTGAACCTGGCCACAGAATTCACAAGGAAGCACAAACGTTCGGCAGCGCGAGACTGCCAATGGCAAATGCGAAGCAGAACACTTGGAGAAGCCACCACACTCTCCACAGTGTCGTGCAGTCACGTTGTGCTGTGTTCTTATGCATTAGTCATACAATTGATGCCACCTTTTGGTCTTCCGAGCCCAAAGCGTGATGCGCAATCTCTCAAATGCTGATGGCAAAAAGGCCCCAGCGAGCCTCGTGGGCAAGGCCGGAACAAATCCCCAAGGAGCTATCTGTCGTTGAAACTTGCATCACAACTTGGCCCTCACCCTCTGAACCTCAGCGCTCAGGAGAACTCCGGCTCATACTTGGCGCGCTTCATCTGCAGGCGCGGCGAGGGGGCGGAGATAGGCCGAATACATCAATTGTAGAGAAACAAGTGCTGGATTCTTGCAGGCTGTAAAAGCTAAGCATAGCTTCATCGTCCAAAGACGTTCACAGCATGGAAAGTGGTCATCTCTTTGTTTGGAAGGCACCATCGCCTGATTTTTGTCCATTCGCCGCATGCCTAAAACCACGTCGCAAGTTGCTGGGTGCTGCGGCCATCTCTGCGTCGGTCATCTCTCGCACAACGATCGTCAGGTGGGTGGAGCGCCTGGCAACTCATGAACCACATGCCATTTCCTACGGGACCCAAGTCAGTTGTGGTCGCATCTAGAAGTAAGAAAGGAAGAGTGGCAAAACGACCTGCCAACATCTTTCGTGACCAAGCTTCAATTGTGTAACGCCAAGTGCCTCAAGTGGCTGTGCCACAAAAAGCATTGCTGCCCGAGCTCGGGCTCTGGCCTTCGGTAGGGGTGCGCCTGGCCCTTGGAAACTGGCCTGGCACACCGCAGCTCGAGCTCCAAAGTCGTTGCAAGCGAGTGACAAGTTGCTTCAAAAGGCAAAGGCAAAAGGCAAAGGTGCTCAGATGCACTTCCAGCTTTGCTCAAGTCTCAGATGTGTTTGCCGTTTGCCCTTTCCTTTTCAATGGAAAGCTTTCGCTGGCGGCCTCATCCGCTTGGAGTAGGGACCACGGTCCGCCCTGCACTGGTAGACGTAAAGGCGTGATTTGTCCTCGCACAGCGTGCACTTTGAATTGTGCAAAGAATGATTATTGATCTGCCAGGGAATTCACACACCAGCCATTTAAGGACCCAAATCACTCAATATGCTGGCAAGGCATGCCTAACTGCACGGACAGGATTTTGAGGTATTCTAGAGAAGCAGGTCATGGCGACAAAAGTATCTTTTCTGACAATGCCAGCCTTGGAAGAGGAGGGGTTGGTTACTTGGAATTACTCTGAGGATTCATCAAAGTACACAAGACCCGAGGTCCATGTTGTAGTGGTTCATGGCGTTCGCAGCAGCAGAGCGCAATGCCTCGGACGTGACACAAAAAAACGCACTGCACACAGCAGGGCCATGCATAGATTGCAGCATAATCAATCGTTGAATTTTTGAATCGGCAATCAAAGTTCCAGCAGCTCCACTAGCACTCATCCATGTCTCTGCGAAAATGTTGTACACAGATCTTGCAGGATCCTCAAGGCAGTACTTTACCTCACGCTGTCTGGGGAGATTTGCGCAATGAGTCAGTAAGTCAGACAAATCAGAGAGGCAACGAAATCCGGGCGAAATTGCCAAGCGTCGAACGTACTGCTTCAAACAAGACAAAAAGAAACCCTTGGAAGCAGTAGAGCTTGACCCGTCCTCACCTTTGGATTCAAGGCCGCTCAGGCAAGCTTGCAAAGAGGCGCATGAAATCCGCCAACCCCTTCTCCGAAAACGGAGGCGGTGGCTGGCACCAAAGGTCGCCTGTTTTCCTCACAATGCACGAAGAGGGTGGCATCCGCATGTCTACCTTCCTAGGATTTGTGCCCCCCTCTGGTGAAGGCCTGACATGAGGTGATGTAAGGCAAAGTAAGGCAATTGGCATTGTATGCGGGTAGCAGCTCATTTGGCGCTGCCTTAACAGCACCACGAACTTCCTCTGGAAGTCTACCTTCCTTTTAGAAACCCTGCGCTTCGAACACGGGCCGTTTGGCACGATTTTAGATCGTACTTGGCGCGGGGACCTTCCAACCGATTTCCCCCTGCACCTCTTTGCTGCTCCAAGACTACGTGAGGTCTGACGTACAGAACTCGGCTAAAGCCCGCCAATATTTTGTACGTGCATTGAAACCAGTTGCTTCTGCTTCTCGGGACGTCCAATTGCCCGCCCACGAGGTTCGGCAATGCTCTTCGCTTAGTCGATGGACTTGAAAAGCAAGAAGTTCGGCGAGTTCCTCGCACCGTTCCCTGGGCTGACTTTTGAGGCGTTCTGCTCTCCTTCGCGCACGCGAGCGGGCTAGCAGACTATGAGGAAATTCGCAGAATGCCAGGGGTCGTGGCATTAGTCTAGAGAACGTCATGGACATCAGATGTGGGAAGCAGTCATCATGTGGAGACAAGCAGCCACGTTAGCGAACCAAAAATAGTGGTCAAGCAAGCTAGGTTGGAAAGAAATTTCAAGCAACCTCGAATGGCTGCATGAAGAGAGCATGAGGAGACTTGGATGGATTCTACAACCCGGAGCATGGGTACATCCGTATTGCGCCAGGTTTCGCCTCGATGAACTGGAGACTGGCGCAGACTAGCGACGCGAAGCTTTCCACAAACTACAAGAGAGCTGGCGGCGATGGTGGTATTACGGTACTACCGGCTGCCAAATCATCACTAACTTGAATTTCATGGAGGTGGGTTGGAGGAACACCGTGAACAAAGGGTGAAAAGGGCAAGAATAGCGGCACAGGAAGGAGGTACGGCTTTCCTAGCAGCAACGGGCTGCATTGCAAGTGGGAGAGTCCGCGCCGAGGGCCGCCGGGGAATACACTGGTAGGAGGAGAGCTGGAACTGGAGTCATGTTTGGAAGTGTGGGGCGCAGAAAGATGAGCCTTCCAACCGCTCCTATGGCCGATTCAGGGGGAGGAAGCAAGGAGAAGGAAAGCCTTGGTCTGGTTAGAAGAGTGGGTGAAGGTAGCAGCAAAGGCCAAGAAAGCACAAGCGAGGGCTGCTAGTGAAGGCGCCCACGAATGAGGGAAGCCACATTTCAGAATGAAATGACATCAGTGGATTTTGTCATCAAAGGATTTTACATGCGAGATCACTGTGCGGGTCTGTTTTTCAGGGGATGCGGCGCTACAAGTTGTTCTTCTCCTTAGAGAACGTCATGGTTGCCCTGAGGGCGGACTGGACGGCAGGTTGAAAAGTTTGTTAGCTCACGAACCATAGACCCCAGACCGAGCGCGTGGCACACAGCACAGGTCGACAAGCTCTCCACGGCATAAACCTCGATGGCTCAAAGTTCAGCAAATCTGTCTCAAAACCAGTTCACTTCAACTGCGCAAACCCGTCTGAGGCTGCGTCTCCAACATGATCAAAGCATCCCTGTAGGTCCTGGGAATCACGCACGTTGCAAGCCAAGGTCTAGTCAAGCACACCGCTTTTGATTGCAGAACGGAACCCATCTGAGACAAAGCAAAGCCAAAGCAAAGCAGCTCAATCAAAGAATCTCTGCATGGCAGTGCATTCTGAGTAATTTGGCAGTTGGAGTCATGCCACGGCGTTTTTCCCGCTGAGAGTCGAAAGTTTCTCCATTGCTAATCTCTGCAATGCAAACCACACGCCTGTTGCGGATCTGCCACAAGACGCGCCGGAACTTCCACGCGGAGCCCTGGCAATTTGGCAAAAGGAAGCGACACTCGCGGCCACTCGTTTCAGGACCCGAAGCCAGGCCTTCAAGAAGCGAGCTCTGCATTTGGCTTCCAGGACTTGACCCTCCTGAACGTTTGAACGTGCCAATCCGAGCGATTTGGGGCTTTGCTGAGTCACAGTCGGTGTTGAAGGAGTCTATATCAAGCATGTATGTAAAGAATCCAAATAGACCGGCATTGGCCCCAAACGGCTGTTGTACGTAACCGATAGTTGGGTGCAGGGCAAGCACCCGCCGAGTGCATGTATGTTCTGGCGTGCACCTGGAACTCGCGACAGTAGGCAGGACAAACTCAAGAAAACCAACCAACCTTGGAGGCAACTAGTTGTGATTTGGAGTGTTATCAAGAACTGAGCCGGGAGAGAAACTTCCCGAATCGTCCAAAAACCCTTCCTTAATCCTGATCCTCGCGGTGGCTTTGTTTGTTTCTATGGCATGTGGCAACAGGTCCCATGTGCCAAGACGTCATGCCAGGCATGAGCAATGTTAAGTACTGGAATGAACCGTGCAAGAACAATCAAGCACAGGCCGGTTCTCCTCATCGGTAGCAAAAAAGGTGTCATCCATCTCGTCCTCCCCATAGCGTGTTTGCTGAAATGCAATCGGGCTTCGGGTTTCAGGCCGCACCTGACTAGTGAAAGGCAACGCACGCACCAGCCAGCTGGCGGTTCCATTTTGTTCTTGTCTCTCGACCTTCTTTGCCTTTTGCCCTCAGGGCTCCCAGGATGTAACACTGTAGGGAAACGCCACATTGCATCAAACATGAGCCCTTGGCTCATGAAAATGTCACATGCGTGGAAACGTCAAGTGTGTCTTAGGCTGGTTGAGGGTGGGTGCAGGCTGGTTTAGCTCTTGTCGTAGTTAATCTGATGAAGTTGGATTTGAGTTGTGTTTTGGTATGTCCAGGTTTTTTTGGTTGGGTTGCAGGGTTGGTTCAAGTGGTCTGGGGTTGGGATGAAGGTTGGCTTCGCGGGGTTGGCGTGGAGTAGGTTTATGGCAGGATTGAATTTGGGGTGCCTTGGGGCTGCGGAGGCTGGGCTTAGGATTAGCTCAGGGCTGACCAGGGAGGTTAGGATGTGTCTAGACTTGGGCTTGCAATCAGCTTCGCTCAGCAATGTCAGAACCGTTGCTCCTGACATCTTCGTTGCAAGTTTGCCCCAATGGTCCGCTTCAGCCTCCACAAAGTTCCAGTCTCAAGCCGCGAAGCAAATCCGTCGACCCCTTCTTGCCAAAAGGGCAGGAGATGCCTTTCAGCTTGATAAACGCAAATTACCCTATCTTCTTTGGGCTAAGATGCTTCTAGGACGTTTTATACACCCTGGCGGTGCTGCCGGGATGCGAAAAGACTAATGCTGGTTCGCTTGCAGTTTTGGGCCTCCCGCAAGCTTGGGTGGGGCCCTGGTGATGACGGGAGCTGCTTCCGCAAGGCATCTTGCAGCCTTGAAAACAGGGCAAGTTGCGGATGATGTAGGGATGCAGCTAGGGATGCAGCTAGGGATGCAGCTAGGGATGTGTGCCAGAGATGTGTGCGTGACTGTGTGCGTGCGTGCCTGGCTGTGGACTGGTTTGCAAGGCTGGCCTGGGGCGGTTGGCCAGTCAGGCGCAGCTGGTCTCGGGAAGGCGATTGGTCTCAGCGCTGGGGGAGGAAGGGTTCGCAAAAATAACCCAACAGTTGCGCGCAAGAATGCAAAGTTTTCCAAACGTCCTCTTTCCAAACCCACTTGTCAGACCAGCCGCGACACGCTTCAAGAAGTCCGAATTCACAAGTACTGAAATGCCACCAGAGAAATGGTCAACAAAGGTAAGGTTCCAAAAGCCTGGATCAAGAACAAAGACTGCGCTCGTGTCCGAAACATGTTTCATCGAGTACAGTAATGATACTTGGAAGCGCTCTTGGAAACATAACCCTGGCTAGCCAAGCTTTTCTTGGAGTGTGCTGGAGTTCAAGTGGGGTTCAGCTCCGATCGAGGTGAATTTCTGCTTGGGTTCAACACAGGTTGAGGTGTCGGTGTCTTTTTTTACTAGCCCCGGCTTTTTAGTAGCCCCGGCTCAGCACAAGGGCGCCCCCATGTGGCTCTGAAGAGGTGGGTCGGTCGGCCGCATCCCCAGCATCACCGGCCTTGCTCGGACTAGGGCTGCCTCTTGGCTTTGATTTGGTGGCAGTTCAAAGTTGCTCCGGGCTGGTTTCGGGTGAGTGTTGGGCTGAGGTCCCATAGGGCGGGTCTTAGGTTTGTTTGAGGTTCATTTAGGCTTTGTAAAGGGCTGATATCCAGATATGCAGGATGCTGCTGGGAGGGTTTGAGGTTGACTTTGAGTCGGTTTGGGTTGGCTTGGAGCTGATTTGCGACGAGGTGTGTGGCCCGGTTTTTGCACTAGCCTTTGGGCTGCTTCAGGGCGTGGATATGCAATTTTTAGGCTGCTCCAACCAACCAACCAACCAACCAACCAACCAACCAACCAACCAACCAACCAACCAACCAACCAACCAACCAATGCCCTGGCGCTAGTAAAAAAACCAACGGTTCCAACAAGCCACATAGACCAAAAACCAACAACAATGAAAATCCTGAGACATAATGCCCTCTGTGTGCAACATCCGAGCTGACGCTGGGGATTGTCCTCACCATACATCACGCCATCATCCTCCTGCACATCAAATCAAATGCAAATCGTGATCAAAGTCAAGCTGCTTCTTAGCAGTGCCCTGCCGGGCTCGCAGTCATCTGGACAGTTTGTTTGGCCAAAGATGGCTCCAATATGTGGCAAAAGCATGTCCCGTGTTGCCAATGCTTGCGCGATGAATTCATGCAATCAAATCCGCACCTCGAAATCGTCATCATCTTCCTGCCAAGTGCAGCAAAAGGAATACGTTAAAAAAAAAAAAAAAAAAAAAAAAAAAAAAACTCAGCAGGCAGCGCGAAAATATCAACCATGGTTGCATGGAGAGATTAGGGCTGCACCACATCTTAAATTTTGCTCAAGCAATCACATGCAAGCATGTTCGGTGCGCCTCATAGTCTTCGTCATCACTGTCACTGTCGCCCTCCATGATAATTTCCTCGGCACTCTTCACTCCCTTTGGCTGATTCTGACTGTTGCAAAGGCAAAGCAAGAATGCTGCCATGTGCTGCAGCTTCTTTGGGCAACAAAAACACACTGCAAGCATGTTCGGTGCGCCTCATAGTCTTCGTCATCACTGTCACTGTCGCCCTCCATGATAATTTCCTCGGCACTCTTCACTCCCTTTGGCTGATTCTGACTGTTGCAAAGGCAAAGCAAGAATGCTGCCATGTGCTGCAGCTTCTTTGGGCAACAAAAACACACTGCATGCATGTTCGTACGCGTGTCCATGAGCGTACACATATATATGTGCTGGTGCATGTACCTATGTGAGTGAATGTGCATGCGCGTTTGCTTGAGCATCCGTGCGCTCCAGCACCCGTCTGTGTATCTGTGTCTCTGTGCATGTGTGTGTGTCCGTCCGTTGCGTTGCGTGCATTGCGGTGCGCTGCGCTGCGGTGCCACGCGACGCGACGCCTTGCCTTGCCGGCCTTGCCTTGCCTTGTCTCTTGCCTTGCATTATCTTGCCTTGCGTTCCCTTGCCTTGCTTTCTCTTGCCTTGCGTTGCGTTCTCTTTGCATTGCGTTCTCTTGCGTTGCGTTGCGTTGCGGTCTCTTGCGTTGTGTTCTCTTGCGTTGCGTTGCGATTCGTTGCGCTGCGCTGCGCTGTGCTGCGCTGCGCTGGTTGCGCTGGTTGCGCTACGTGGGTGTCTGTGTGTGTGTGTGTGTGCGTGTGCTTGTGTTTGTGTGTGTCTTTGTGTGTTTGTGTGTTGGCGCGTTGGTGTGTTTGTGTGTGTGTGTGTTTGTGTGTTTGTGTGTTTGTGTGTTTGTGTTTTTATGTGTTTGTGTGTTTGTTTGTTTGTGTTTGTGTGTTTGCGTGTTCGTGCTTGCTTTTGTGCGTGTTGCGCGATTGTGTCTTGGTGTGTCTGTGTGTGTGTGTGTGCGTGTGAGCGCGTCTGTGTGTGTGTGCGTGTGTGTGTGTGTGCGCGTGCGCGCGTGTGTGTGTGTGTCTGTGTGTGTGTATGTGTGTGTGTGTGCGTGCGTGTGTGTGTGTGCGCGGTTGTGTGTTTGTGTGCGTGCACGTGTGTGTGCGTGTGTGCGCCTGTCCTGTCCTGTCCTGTCCTGTCCTGTCCTGTCCTGTCCTGTCCTGTCCTGTCCTGTCCTGTCCTGTCCTGTCCTGTCTGTCTGTCTGTCGGCGCGCGCGCGTGTGTGTGCGTGTGTGTCTTCCTTAGTCTAATGTGTGTGTGTCTCTGCGTGCGTGTGTCTGTATGTGTGTGTCTCGGTGTGTGTGTGTGTGTGTGTGTGTTTGTGTCCGCGTGTGTCTCTGTATGTGTCTCTGTGTGTGTCTGTGTCTGTGTGTGGCTGTCTGTGTCTCCGCCTGTGTGTGCGCCTGTTTGAATCGATTGTGCGCGCGTCTCTGCGCGTGGCTCTTTGTGTTTGTACCTGGGCGCGTCTGCGTATTTGTGTCCGGTTGCGTCTCTGTGTATGTCTCCGTGCGTCTGTGTCCATGTCTGCGTGTCTATGTCTCTACTGCGTGTGTGTGTGTGTTCTTGTGTATCTGTGTGTGTCGGTGTGTATCTGTGCGTGTGAGTGTGTGCATCTGTGCGTGGGTGTGTGTGTGTGTGTCTGCGCGTGTCTGTGCGCGCGTCTGTGCCTGTGTGTGTGTGTTTTTGTGTCTGTGTGTGTGGGTCGCTGTTTATCCATGTGTGTGTGTCTCTGTGTCTCGGTGTGTGTGTGTGTGTGTCTGCGCGAGTCTGTGTCTCTGTGTGTGTACGTGCGCGTGTGCGTGCGCGTGTGCGTATGCGTGTGGGTGCGTGTGTGTGTGTGTGTCTCTGTGTCTCTGTGTCTGTGTGTGTCTGTGTGTGTGCGTCTGTGTGTGTGTATGTCTGTGTGTGTCTGTGTGTGTGTGTCTGCATGTGTGTGTGTGTGTGTCTTGTGTGTCTCTGTGTGTCACTGTCTGTCTCTGTGTGTCTCTGCGTGTCTCCGTGTGCGTGTCTGTTTGTGTGTCTGTGTGTGTCTGTGTGTGTCTGTGTGTGTATGTGTATGCGTCCGCATGTGTGCGTAAGTGGAGCTGCTCGTGCGTGTTGTGGCGCGCGTGTGCGTGTGCGTGTGCGCGCGCCGCGCGCGTGCGCGTGCGCGCACGTGCGGTGTGCGGCTGCGCTAGCGCGTGCGACGTGCGCGGCGCGCGTCCGCGTGGGCGCGCGCGCGCGCGTGCGTGTGCGTGCGCGCGCCTGCGTGCGCGTGCGCTTGCGCGTGTGCCTGCGAGTGCATGTGTGTGCGTGCGCTGCGTGCGCGTGTGCCTGTGTGCATGTGTGCAGGTGTGCATGTGTGCATGTGTGCATGTGTGCATGTGTGCATGTGTGCATGTGTGCATGTGTGCATGTGTGCATGTGTGCATGTGTGCATGTGTGCATGTGTGCATGTGTGCATGTGTGCATGTGTACATGTGTGCATGTGTGCATGTGTGCATGTGTGCATGTGTGCATGTTTTCATGCGTGTGTGCGTGCGCGTGTGCGTGCGCGTGCGCGCACGTGCGGTGTGCGGCTGCGCTAGCGCGTGCGACGTGCGCGGCGCGCGTCCGCGTGCGCGCGCGCGCGCGCGCGTGCGTGTGCGTGCGCGCCCCTGCGTGCGCGTGCGCTTGCGCGTGTGCCTGCGAGTGCATGTGTGTGCGTGCGCTGCGTGCGCGTGTGCCTGTGTGCATGTGTGCAGGTGTGCATGTGTGCATGTGTACATGTGTGCATGTGTGCATGTGTGCATGTGTGCATGTGTGCATGTTTTCATGCGTGTGTGCGTGTGTGCATGTGTGCATGTTTTCATGCGTGTGTGCGTGCGCGTGTGCGTGCGCGTGTGCGTGTGCGTGTGCGTGTGCGTGTGCGTGCGCGTGCGTGCGCGCGTGCACGTGCGCGCGCGTGCGTGCGTGCGCGTGCGCGTGCGCGTGCGCGTGCGCGTGCGCGTGCGCGTGCGCGTGCGCTTGAGCGCGTGCGCGCGTGCGTGCGTGCGGGCGTGCGGGCGTGCGGGCGTGCGGATATGCGTGTGTGTGTGTGTGTGTGTGTGGGTGTGGGTGTGCGTGCGCGTGTGCGTCTGTGTCTGTGTGTGTGGGTGTGTGTGTGTGTGTGCGTGCGTGCGTGTGTGTGTGTGTGCGTGTGTGTGTGCGTGTGTGCGTGTGTGCGTGCGTGCGTGTGTGCGTGTGTGCGTGTGTGCGTGTGTGCGTGTGTGCGTGCGCGCGTGTGTGCGTGTGTGCGTGTGTGCGTGTGTGTGCGTGCGCGCGTGCGCGCGTGTGTGCGTGTGTGTGCGTGTGCTCGTGTGTGCGTGTGTGGGTGTGTGGCATGCGCGCGCGTGCGCGTGTGCGTGTGCGTGCGCGCGTGCGTGTGTGTGTGTGTGGGCGCGTGTGTGTGTGTGTGTGGGCGCGCGTGTGTGTGTGTGTGTGTGTGTGCGTGTGCGCGTGCGTGTGTGCGCGCGCGCGTGTGCGTGTGTGCGCGCGCGTGCGTGCGCGTGCGCGTGCGCGTGTGCGTGCGCGTGCACGTGGGCGCGCGCGCGCGCGTGCGCGCGCGTGCGCGTGCGCGTGCGCGTGCGCGTGCGCGCGTGCGCGTGCGCGCGCGCGCGCGTGCGCGTGTGCGCGCGCGCGAGTCTGAGTCTGGGCGCAGGCAAAGAATCAGAAAGGAAGCAGAAGTACAGAAATACTTTCTGATGTTAAGCCAATTACAATGTACAAGAGCGACATTCGCTCTCGGGATTGGGCCACCGGGGTCTCAGAAACGCCGCGCAGGGTGCCCAGGGCTGCTCCTGGAGGCGCAACTGGCTGGACGTCTGCCATACCAAGTCAAGCCGTCAAGCCCGGCAGGCAGAGTCAAGATATGTAAAGACAACTTAAAGTGAATCTAAAGTGCCCACAAGGCGGGTGACCTCTTAGGTCCGGACGTGGCTCCGTCACGGGAGACACAGAGGGAACAAAGGCCTCGCAGTTTGCTTTTGCTGCGCTCTGACCGACACTTGCATGAACAGCGCGCAAGGGCGCAGACTAAGGATGTCACTGACAAGAAGCTGTCTTGGGCATGCAGCAGCCTGGCTGTGTGCGGGATGAAAGTGATGCTTTTTGGACTTTGCCATGAGTGCCTGGAGTGGACATTTATAGAATGTCAGGCAAGAATTGCTACATAAAGCCAGCATTGTCGCAACTCCAATCTTACTACCCAAGACGTCATTCGGACACACCTCAAGCATGAGATATGTGGCCTTGCATGCGCACATGTAGCCAAGAGAGTGCGCTTTCAGTATTGTCTTAACGGTTGCCTGTTCATCCTGCGATCGCGGCAAAGCAAAGCCAACCTGGGTTTTTACTCGCTCAATAGCAATTTTACCAGGTACCAATTGAATGGCAATTTCGTTCAGGGACTCCGAAGGTCAACTGGGCCGAGCCCTTGCGCCTGGTTGTGCAAAAGGCCAACGCCAGGATCCCCAGCAGTGTGGGTGCAAATGCCACGCCTGGTGGGGTCAAGCAGTCAAGCAGTCAAGCACTGAAAGCACTGAAAGCACATTGAGAATGAGATGATGAAATATGGCAAGTCTGGCAAGTCGGAAGGCCTCGCCGCATGGCGCTTTCCAGCGGACTCTGAGGGGCGAACGGCGGCTCGCTGAGACCGCCCTTGGGAGAAAACACAAGGGCAGGCACGGAAAGTCCCAGCCAACCTCGAGTCAGAAGGGCACGCTGAAATTTGGGCTGTCTTGTCAAAGCAATGTCTTTCGATGTGTGGGCGGCAGGGCACTTTGAGATTTGTGATGGGCCATTGAAGCCAGCAACATCGACTCGCTTGAAGCGCTTGCTTCTGGAGATGATACAATCGGGCACTCTTTGATGCCGTTTGGAGAGCGGTAAACCCCACCTTTTGTGGGGCGAAACGGTCGCCAGAGCCACCGATTTGGCAGTACTGCATTTTGGCAGACTGTCCCGTTACCTTCTGCAAAGTCATACACCTGAGGAAAGGCCTGAAGGGTCTTATGTTGTGTTGCGGGTCTGTTGTCCATGCGCATGTTCGCAATTGACACATCGACACAAACCAGGACGTATCGTTTTGGATGTCCTGTGACACGTTTGTCCCAATTACTTCACCATCCCAGCGGAAAAAGCAAACGTGGGCGATCTACACGTGCAAGCCGCACTTCGCTCTAAATCCGGCGAAGCATGGCATGAGCATCCCGGCCCTTCTAAGTGCTGAAGGGCAGTATCACAGCCAGACACCATGAACTTTGCCAGGCCCAGCTATGGTGCTTGCCTTTTTGGCGCCCCCGTCAACCTTGAGGCAAGCTCTCAAAAGCTGGGCGGCCCTGCGAGTCATGGCGAATGGGGCAGTCACAATGCGCGATCGACACGCTCTCCAATGGCAACTTAGTCAATGTCCCACGAGCGTCACGAGCCTGTCGGATCAGAAGGCACCTGTCTTGGGTAGTCATAATTCAAAAGCTTCCCCTTCAGGAGCGCGCCATTGAGCCCTGCTTGGGTTTATTACTCGTTCACCACGCACACCAAGAGGTCAACGCTGCGTCGAGAGTCCCATACCCTTGGTCCAGCCCCTGCACAGGCAGAGCTTGCCTCCTGGTCTGCCACAGGCATGTTGAAAATGTCCTGCCACACTGCCCGTCTCATGGCAACACATCGACGTCACTTGCGATTGCACGGTGCCAGCAAGCTCGCCAAGTCGCAAAGGTATGCCAATAAAAATATAGGGCGCCAAACAAATGGTGGTTCTCCTTGGGCTCTCCTTAAGCCAAGCTCAAAGAGGGCACCCCTGATTGAAAGCACACACACACTTATCTCGAGAGGCTTCACTAGCCGAGATGAAAAACGCAGTCAGTAAAAATGCTTGAATGGAAATGCAAATCAACAGGTCACAACATCGACACCGAACAGGAAGCAACAGCGACAAACAGAAACCGCAAAAGGAATCAGGAAAGAGGGTCAGGAAATAGGCAGGTACGCCGGATTGATCAGATCCGGTATCCACCGAAATGCCGTAGCTTCATTGGACTGGATAGGCAAATCGGCTCCAGTCCCCCTGCTGCTTAAAGTTTTGCGTCCGTGCTCCAGGACGGTTCACACACACAAGGCCCCGAGTGGGGCGAGCTCACTTATGCAAGGCCCATTGAGTCTTGCAATCTTCGACTGCGCGGGACAGTCTCGTGGCGATGACAGACCACGCATGCTTGGCCTTGGTATTGATCTTAAGCGAACGGAGGAGATCAATCTCCCCCTCAGTCCAAGGTTGCGGACCAGTAGCGGCATCAGTCCTGGTCGATGGGGTAGCTTCGCGTTGTCCACGGGTAGGTTTGGATGCCATAGAGCGTGAGGAGGTCTTGTCATGTGTGTGACGAGCTTGTTTTTTTGTCAGGAGGAGACGGTGGAGTGGGTGGAGCCCAATGATCAGGAAATTGTTCATCATGATCTTCAGGAAGTTGTTCATTAAGATCATCGGGGGGGGCTAGGAGAGAGGTGTTGGTGGTGAATTGGTCAGGTCCTCTACGCTGAGATTGAGTGGAGCTTCCGGTGCGAAATTCGGACCCTCAGTGAACTCGCGAATGGTGGCGATGCCTTGCTGGGCAATGCCGAGTGGGTGCAATCTCAAATAGTGGCAAAGGAAGGCCGGTGCGTTTTTTCTTTCTGCAAGGTGAAACCGTGTTGGTGGTACAACTTCTTCAACACTGTGAGATCGTGATCTCGCTGAAACTCAGGAAAGGAAACCCGGCTGATCAGCGTACGTCTGGAGTAATATCCAGATTCCTTGCGCATCATTGGTGCGGCCGACTTGATGGAGAGCATGTTGTGCTTCTCATACGAGGGGATGAAGGAGATGGTGCCGCACTCAAGGTCCAGTCGAAAACCCAAGAAATCCAGGGCGGCTTCTGTCTCCAAAAGGATGTCTCCTCCGTAGAAGTGTTCGTCACACAAGATGTGGGCTGCCGGAGTCGAAACCATCTAGGGGTTGCGACCACGAGCCTGTTGTCCACATAGCGGAGCAGGAGGGTGTCCTCAAAGGCGCGAGGTCCCGAAGTAGGATGGGTGTTGGCCCAAATTTGCTCGGCGACCGCAATTACCATCAGGCATAAAGCAGGGATGCGGGGGATCCCATCGGGGCCCCGCGTGTTTGCCTGAAGGAACGGAAGCCGACAGAAAAGATCTGCATGTCAAGGGTAGCTTGAATGATTTCGGGGATGTCGTCAAGCCACAGAGTGCGTTGCGCTGGCTTGTGTCGGCGACGGCGTCCGTTGTAGACGCGGGTGGTGGAAGAGGTGTCAAGTGTGTCCACTGTGAGGTGTGTGGTGGTGGAATGTGGTTGCCGCTGTCGGTACCAAGTCAAAAGTAGACGCCAGGCTGCTAAGAAGCGGTCTTTGTCAATGGAAGTGAAGAAACCAGAAAGGTCCTGGTTTCGATAGTCCAGAGGAGTGTGGCCGAGGCGGAGAAACTCATGCAAAGACCGCATGAGATCGAAGAGGTCGCCACCCGAAAATGCGTCTGGGCAAGCCGTGGCAACCATGCTGTGGAGCAGTTTGGCGAGAGCGTCAAGCATGGGTCGGAAGAAGGCGCCAACGAAGCTGATGATGGGTCGAGCAGTGGTCCAGTTCTTCTTCCTCTTGGGGAGGATGTAGGCAGTCGCTGGCCGTCCGAAGCCGGTCACGGCCCATGGATAGCGACCGCGGAATCTGCTGACGATGCTTTCTCGTTGCCGTTGATGGATCTCAATGGAGGGGACTCGCAAGGGAGCAAAGATGGCAGGATCCGTGAATGTGGCGTCCAGCATCTTGCCGTACACAGCGGGGCAATAGAGCATGAGTCGGCCGCACGTTGCGCTGGTCCTCGTGGCTTCCCCCGGACTCCAAGATCTTGTGCTGATTGACAGAGCGCAGTTCCCAAAAGCGATGGCCCCAAGCTGAGACTTTCCGATGGTGAAGTTCTGCAAAAGCTGGCCTAACGTGTCGGGATTGCAGGCTGTGGGAGTGGCCTGAGCATAGCATCCAAAGCTCGGGTAGTCATGGTTCTCAGGCCTCCATGCAGCAGACCGGATCATGTTCTCATAGGACATGCGGCGCATTCGATCTGGGGTGGTGCCGTGTACATACATGACAGCGTGATGGGAAGTGCCGAATCCAGCTTCCGGGTGTCGGGGAAACCAAGTGGTTGCGAACACCATGCCATGTGATTCCCGTCCCAGGAGATGGTAGAAGCTGGGTTCGAACGCTATGGGCTCATCCATGTCCATGCTTGGCAAGGCAGGGTCCAGGTTCGTCAAAATGGCCTTGGTCTGTTCCATTCTGGAGATGTCCAAGGCTGGAAGCGGGTCCAGCTCCCCCAACTCCCTAGGCGTGGGAACTCGCATTGGGTCAGTCTTGGTTGTGTCCATGACGCTTCGCCATAGATCAAGCCACCGGTTGTCGGAGTTTGTGTTGAGCTCTGCCTCCGACGGAGGGGGATCCAGGTCTTCAATGTCATCCAAGGGGTTGGGAAGGTGCAGGGCGGGGAGGGGGGATTGGGAAAGCCGCCGCGGGCGCAGGTTGCTGCTGTGGCCTGACTGCTCCAGTTGCCTGTGTTGCTGGTGCTGTGGCGGCGCTTGCCCCAGCGGCTTGTACTGTGGCTCTGCGGTGGGTGTCCCCACGATTGGTTCCACCAGCGTGGAGAGGACCTTTGAGACTTGTCGGTGTCCCATCCGGAAGCGCGCCGGGAAGTGGAATCTTGGGAGGTGTGGGTTTGCGGGGCTCGATGTGGAGCCGTGGTCCTGGGTGCGGGGGAGTGTCGCTGGGGGGGCCTGCGCCGGGGGGAGCGTGAGCGGAGGGAGATGGGGTTGCGGTGCGATCGCCTGGAGCGGTGGTGGGGCCGTGAGGGGGAATGTGACCGGCTCGAGCTGCGTGCTCGCCGGGCGGTGTGTCGCCGCGGCGACTTGTCGTGTCCACGGTGATGACTGGTGTGGGAGTGTGAGTGGCGGTGTCGTCTGTGACGGGAACGGGATCTGCGGGAGTGGGGCTGGGGATGAGTGTCCGTGGGATGTGGGTTGGTCGAGGAAGCGGCGGCAGGAGTCTTAGCAGCTGCATCGGCTGCACGTGCCGGCTGAGGCTCGGGCAATGAAGATGGCATGCTGCTCTGAGCCATGAAGGGCATCAGGGCGCCGGATGTCGCGTTGCCAAAGTTAGGAAGGCCACCGTAGGGCATCACGGACATCGGGTTGCCAAAGTTCGGAAGGCCACCATAGAGCATCATGGAAAACGGTGCAAAGGGCGTGGTCTGTGGGTTGGGTGAAGGTACGAGGCTCATGGGCTGCATCATCTGGGGTGACAACTGCAGGTTCGGTCCACCGCTGCCTGGTGACCGGACACGGTGCCGGCCGCAATGCTTTGCAGGAGCGAATGCATCATGTCATAGAGCTGGTGTCCAGCCATCTCGCAAGGGAGAGAGAGGGTTGGAAAGAGAGGGGTGGAAACAATAAAAGGCAGCTGCGGCATGGGCAGGCACGATTTAGCAACTGATTCACACATGACCTGTGCCTCAAAAAAGCTGCCTTGTCGGTCCAACTCATGTCAATGCAGGTGTCGCTTGAACGTGAAAGTGAATTGAACTGATCAGAGTCAGCGCAGAGCGTAAACCGATGAACTGCAAAGTCGGTGTTTGACCGACCTGCCCCTTGCACATGCGGCAGCCTAGCCGAAACCTCATGGTTGCTGCCTTGCTCAAGGTGCAGGCAATGCGACAGGCGCAACAAGCAATGCGAATGGCAGTACCTCACCTGCAAAATGGCTGCCTTGACCATGGTCAATCGCGCTGAACTGCGGCTTGAATTTGAACGAATGAACGGTCTTCCCCTCGCAGGGGGCTCCCGCATGTGGCGAGTCCAGCCCACAGCGCCATGTCGGACAGGCCGTGGGTAAACACACTTATCTCGAGAGGCTTCACTAGCCGAGATGAAAAACGCAGTCAGTAAAAATGCTTGAATGCAAATGCAAATCAACAGGTCACAACATCGACACCGAACAGGAAGCAACAGCGACAAACAGAAACCGCAAAAGGAATCAGGAAAGAGGGTCAGGAAATAGGCAGGTACGCCGGATTGATCAGATCCGGTATCCACCGAAATGCCGTAGCTTCATTGGACTGGATAGGCAAATCGGCTCCAGTCCCCCTGCTGCTTAAAGTTTTGCGTCCGTGCTCCAGGACGGTTCACACACACACACACGCACTCGCACATTCCTGGGTGACAAATCATAGCCCGAGCTTGTGACAATATGATTATTCATGGTAGGCATATTTCACCCTGCCTTGCGCTTGGAGAAGCAATGGTATCCAATCAAATCGTCAACCGTCCTGGCATGATGCACGAAACAGCGCAGCCCAAATCACTAGGACACAGCAAGAAGCCGCGCGCAGCATCAAATAATTCAAGATCGCTTCATGTGTGCTACGCGTCGCTCTCACAAGCTAAGGCTCTCCGTCAATGTCTCGACACTTTTGTAACAGCCAAAGCATGACTGCAGCACTGCGCAAAGCCGCAGGCACGCTGGAACAGCGTCATCTCTGGATCTTTCTCTTCCCTGGCATGCCCCCACAACAACCGCGCCAGGCTGGGCTAGCCACTGCAAAGAAAATTGTGTAAGATTGTTGGCACATCTCCACAAGCGTTCAAAAGACACACCACTTAAGGATGTTCAGGCGCAGCATGCTGCAAAATGCCTGTTCTTCTCGACAATCCAACAGAAGAGGATGGTGTCAGACCTCACAAACACTTCACCATATGCTTGTTGTCCGTCCGTCTTCTCCGGCTCTCTCCATCTCCCTCCCACCCTCTCCATCTCCCGCCATCAGCTCTCGCCGCCTCGCTCCATCTCCTTCCTTCTCTCTCTCTCTCTCTCTCTCTCTCTCTCTCTCTCTCTCTCTCTCTCTCTCTCTCTCTCTCTCTCCCTCTGTTTCTCTTTCTCTTCCTCCCGTTAAATTGAGACTGTTGTTTACTACAAGCGCAAGCGCTGTAATGTTGCAAACAAACCTGTAGTCTGCACAGCTCATGTAGTATCTTTCAACTGGAATGGAAATGTCAAGATTGACAGTAGTGACGAAAACAATGTTGTTCATCCCTGCTACTGTAGTGAAAAGGAAAACCGGTGCTTTGGGATTTTCACCTACTACTCAACACCCAGCAACTACTCCACCTCTACAGCGTACACCACAACGACAGAACGGTACAACGTGCTACACACTGCATTCTCAGCAAGACTACAGAACACTACGGTCACTACTTCTTGACCAACACGCACGGCTCAGAGGCACTTCACACCCAACTATTACACACACTCAGGCAAGTACGCATCACGACGCCTGTCAACCCAATAACGGACTACAACAGAACGCGTGGCTCAGGTCAGGAATTACATGAGCGAGGCCGCAACGGTCCAATCGCGTAAAACTACAAGTGGCGCTACAACACCAGAGTGAAGTCGTTGAAGTTGTAGTTGATCAAAGAGGCTCCCTGGTAGTAGTTCAAGCGAAGAGTGTTGAAGTTGAGTGATTGGTGTAGCGACGCACAAAGTAGCCCAAAGCGTTGTCTTTGAGTAGTTGTTGGACGTGGTCTGTGGGAAGTGAGATTGTGACGAGAATGTAGTCGTTGATGTGGTTGGTGGATGTGTGGAGTTCGGTCAAGCTGTAGTAATGCCACAAATGGGCATCTGCTGCTGAGCGCAACAGTTGTAGTCGATCCTACGCCGGCTCATGTAGCTTGCCCGGTACTGAGTGTAGCGGTAGGAAGGGTGTTGCTGGTTCGGCCGTGTTGCAGAAGAGGTTGGCTGAAGCGTTGTCATCCTGTCCTGCAGTAAGGAAGCAGTAATTCTCAACTGTCAGGGGAAAGTAGAATTTAGGGTACTGTGGTGAAGTGGGTAGTGCGGGCATGTCCCGTAGTAGGATGATCTGGTTGATGTGGAGGCTGAGGGGGAGTTGTAGATGTCCTGTAGGTGCGCGTGGAGTGGGAGCGGTGTCGAAGTGGTTCGTAGTTGTGAGTCGTAGCGCGCCTGTAGTTTGGTGAAGTTGCGACTGGTAGTTGAACGGGTGTAGTCGTCTCAGGTGAAGACACGCCAGCCTCGTCCTCAGCGACTGTGGTCGCGAAACGGTCCATGGCTGTCGTCCTAAAATGGAGTGAAGCTGGGGTACCTAAAGTGAGCCTGCGGGCAGACATGCGAAACAAACAGACATGTAGCGTTGACTGACGCCGCCAAACATGCCGCCAACAGTGCCAGTGACATTACATGTAGTTTCTGTAACTTACATACCAGAAGTGTCATGTTTCTTGTAGCTGCTACATACAAAATGTTCGAAGTTGGTGTTGTTGCGAAACAGTTACGCTGGTCGTTTCTAGTGCTAAATGCGTAGCAGTGTTTCCTGGATGAGCCGGTGTAGTGTTTCCTTGCTGATGCGTTTGGGAAACAATTCTGCGCTGTTGTGGGGTGGTGGATGTCCTGGTCCATCTGTTGGAGTGAACAATGTCGTTCTAAGTGATATCTGGCGTCTTATCCAGCGTTCGCCTTGTCGTTCCCAGTAGTCTCGGTTGTCTTCTTGCGCTGCGAGCGGTCTGTGTGTGGTTGCCTTTGGTGTGTGGTATCAAGGTCTGTGGAAGGCGCTGCTTTAGGTCTCCATATCTCTTGTGGAGCTCGTAGTTGCATCTTTGGCTTTGTTGGCGGCGTCTCCATCAGTTACTTAGTTGTTGCGGCCGTGGGCTCTGTCTTGTTGGTGTGGTCTTTGATGTTGCTCTTCGTGTAAGTGTGATCTTTCTTCTGAATCTGGCTTCTCCAGTCTGTCTACCAATCATCTAGTTCTTCTTCTGGTATTGGGCAGTCGCTGTTGTGTGGCGCGAAGAGCGCTTTGCGCGGTCGCTTGATGGACTATGATGGCCAAGGATTTGTCTCAGTCCTTGGTCTGTGTGCGTCAGTGGTGCAATGTGTTCCTGTTCTTGTTCTGCTTTCTCTGTAGTGAGTGTCTGATGAGGTGCGCTTGTTGTTCTCCATGGGCGCAGTGTCATGGGTTCAAGTCGAGTCCATATCCTCTACCAAGTAGTCTTGATGCGCTGAGGATAGGATACCTCACGTCACAAACGTAGTAGGGCATCAAAGTTGTCCTGCTTGTAGGGAACATACTTGATGCCATAGACAGGGATCCTCTTGTTGGTAACCGTGTAGAGTTGCGGAACTGATTCTCCACAAGGTCGTAGTGGTAGATCCGGTGCGTAGTGTAAATGCTCCTGAGTCGATCAGCAGGTGGTGGTATGACTTGAAGTTGGAGTACATGGTGTAGCGCGTGGTGTTGTCCTCAACCTTCTTTTGTCTTTGCTTTTGTGTTGCTGCTGCTATGTCGAAGTGTAGTTGCGTTGCGTCCTCTTGTAGGAGTTGTTGAAAGCTTTTGCTACGGTCGTTCCATGATGTTGTGTGCGACGCTTTCTTTCCAGGTAGTGATTTGTGTTTGCGCTTGTCTGGTAGTGGCTTTGCTTGTCTGGTGTGTCCCATAGTGAGGTGTGACTCGTTGATGCCTCCAAGCAAGTTTGCTGTGTCTTCATAGCTGCCAATCCTAGCTGTTGTCATAGTCGTAGTCGTTCCAACTCTCCTCCATGCAGTTCACCTTGTGTCCATGTCCTTCTTCTCCTTCGTAGTACCAGTCCCAGGCATCGTTCAGATCCTGAGGTAGTTCCTCATTGTTGTCCTGATCTGCTTGTTCTTGGTCTGGTGGATGTAGTTCTTCTCCTTCTCCTATGTGCCGCACGGGCACTCTGCAGTCCTGTGCCCAATGGCCAGGCTTGCCACATCGGTGGCATGTCATGTAGTTGGTGCTTCCTTTTTCTTTTGATTTGCTGTAAGTTCCTTGACCTTTGCCTTTGCTTTGTTGCGCCCTCCTTTGTTGTAGCTTCCTTTGCCTTTGTCAAATCCCTTGTAGCGCCCTTCGCTTCTGTGTTTGCCTTTGCCTTTGCTTCCTTTGTAGCGGCCTTTGCCCTTTCCTTTGCCTTTGTAATTGTAGTTTCTTCCTTTCCCTACATTGTAGTTCGTGCCTACAGCTGAAGTAGCTCTTGAGAAAGCAGGGCTGCTCTGGTCTCGTTGTAGTTCGTGATCTGTCCAGCTCGCACTTGGAGGTGTTGTTGCAGCTCCATCTGGTAGCGCTGCGCCGTCGTCTTTCTCGTAGCGGTTGATGCGCAGGAATTGCTCGTCAAACCGTGCTTCATTGACTGTAGGTTCCAGTGGTTTCGTGAGGTAGCCAACGCTTCATGTTCCTACTGGCAGGCTGCACCTGTTGCGCAGAAGGAAGTCGTAGTGTTTCACATCCGTTTGCGGCTTTGCCTTACTACTGCAGCCTGCTCCCTGACATATGTTGAGGTCTACTGCTTTGCTTGCTTGTGTAGGGTCGCGTATGTGTGCTCTGATGTCTGCGTCCTCAACTTGTCGTGTAGCTACTTGCGCCAGTTGTAGCACCGGGTCAAAGTCTCGGTCTATGAGTCCGGGATATGCTTGTAGCTTGAACAGCTGTTCTTCATACTGGGAGTAGTCACCAGTGAAGAAAGGTGGTGGCAGCTTGTATTTGTGTAGTCTCTGAACGTCGTTGTCTTGTTCTGTCCCTGCTCCCGTAGTCGTGGCTCCTACTGTTTCTGCTGTTGGCCCATTCTCTGTTCCTGTAGCTTGCTGCGCTGGAGCTGATGCTGCTTCTCCTGTCGTGTCGTAGTAGTTTGGCACGCGATTTCTGTTGCAGTTGTTGTGGTACTTACTGCTGGATACTGGAGCTCCCCTATTTTTAGGATCTCAGCTCCGCTACCGCGTTAAATTCAGAATGTTGTTTACTACAAGCGCAAGTGCTGTAATGTCGTTAACACAAACCTGTAGTCTGCACAGCTCCTATTTTGCATGGGCTCTTGATGTAGTCAAAGGTAAGCTCAAGGCCTGCGGTCATGTACAAGCTACGAAGTACAACACTGCACGCATCTCTCTTCATGTCTTTTTGTTTCTCGCTCTCTCTCTCTCACAATGTCTCTCTCTCCCGCTATCTTTTTAGCTTCCATGCCAACAAGTGGGGGTTGATCAAAATGATATTCCTACTAAATTCGAAAAATCACCCATGCTCATTTGGGGGCCGGGAATATTGATCAACCCCCATTTGTTGATTGCAGCATCTTGGGTGGCTGGCACAGTGTCAAATATCATCATAAAGGGAAAAGACATCACAAAGGACACCACCGCTCCACCTTAGCATACGTGGCAAGGATGAAATCAGCAAAGGCCACTCGACCTTTATTGCTATTTGCTGCTTTAAGTGATGCGGCGCATCTTTCCCCCTGTTCGACTCAAGCACGTGCGTGGGTGTGGGCATGGGCGTGGGCGCGGGCGTGGGTGTGGGTGTGGAACTGGGTGTGGGTGTGGGTGTGGGTGTGTGTGTGTGTGTGGGGGTGTGTGTGTGTGTGTGTGTGTTTGTGTTTGTGTTGGTGTGTGCTTTGTGTGTGTGTGTCTGTGTGTTTGTTTGTGTGTTTGTTTGTTTGTTTGTTTGTTTGTTTGTTTGTTTGTTTGTTTGTTTGTTTGTTTGTTTGTTTGTTTGTTTGTTTGTTTGTTTGTTTGCTTGCATGCGCTCGCATGTGTTTGTGTGTTTGCGTGTTTGTGTGCTTGTGTTTGCGTGTTTGTGTGTGTGTGCTGTTTGGCTGATTGTGAGTTTGCGTCATTGTAGGGTTGTGTGTGTGCTTGAATTTGTGCTTTTGTGTGTTTGCGTGCTTGCGTGTCTGTATTTGCGCACGTGTGTGTGTGTGTGTGCGCTTTGTGTGTGTGTGTGTGCGGTTGTGTGTGCATGTGGTTCTCTTTTGTGTTTGCGTGCTTGTGTGCTTGTTTCTTTGCATGCGCGCGCATGCGTGTTTGTGTGCTTGTGTGCTTGTGTTTGTGTGTTGCTGTGTGTGTTGCTGTGTGTGGTGCTGTTTGGGTGATTGTGAGTTTGCGTCATTGTGAGTTTGTGTGTGTGTGCTTGTGTTTGTGTTTTTGTGTGTTTGCGTGCTTGCGTGTCTGTATTTGCGTGTTCGTGTGTTTGTGTGTCTGTGTGCTTGTGTATTTGTGTGTACGTGTGTTTGTGTGTACGTTTGTTAGCTTGTGTTTGCATTGTGTGGTTGTGTTTGTGTGTGCTTGCGCGTTTGCGCGTTTGCGCGCTTGCGCGTTTGCGTGTGTGTGCCTGGTTGCCTGGTTGCCTATTTGTGTACTTGCGTGTTTGGGTGTTTGCGTATGTGCGGGCTTGCGTGATTGCGTGTTTACGCGTTTGCGCGTTTTGCGTGCTTGCACGTTGGCGCATTTGCGCGTTTGCACGTATGCGCGCTTGCACATTAGCACGTTTGTGCGGCTGTGCGATTGTGCGTTTGTGTGTGTGTGATGTTGTTCTCGCTTGTGCGTTTGTGTGCTTGTGTGTTCGTGACTGTGTGTTTGTCAGTTTGTGTGTGTGTGCTTGTGTTTGTGTTTTTGTGTGTTTGCGTGTCTGTATTTGCGTGTTCGTGTGTTTGTGTGTCTGTGTGCTTGTGTATTTGTGTGTACGTGTGTTTGTGTGTACGTTTGTTAGCTTGTGTTTGCATTGTGTGGTTGTGTTTGTGTGTGTGCTTGCGCGTTTGCGCGTTTGCGTGCTTGCGCGTTTGCGTGTGTGTGCCTGGTTGCCTGGTTGCCTATTTGTGTACTTGCGTGTTTGGGTGTTTGCGTATGTGCGGGCTTGCGTGATTGCGTGTTTACGCGTTTGCGCGTTTTGCGTGCTTGCACGTTGGCGCATTTGCGCGTTTGCACGTATGCGCGCTTGCACATTAGCACGTTTGTGCGGCTGTGCGATTGTGCGTTTGTGTGTGTGTGTGTGATGTTGTTCTCGCTTGTGCGTTTGTGTGCTTGTGTGTTCGTGACTGTGTGTTTGTCAGTTTGTGTGTGTGTGCTTGTGAGTTTGTTCGTGTGGCTGTGTGCTCGTGTGTTTGTGTGCTTGTGTGTTTGTCTGTTGCACCACATGCTGAGGCCACCACAGATTGAAAGAAAGAAAGGGTTTTGCACATAGTCTGGGCCTCAGTTGCTGGCACTGCAGTAGACCTGTCACACTGCCTCCCCCTCCGTGACTTTCTGGGAACCAGGCTATAGCGATCCTCAAAGCCTGCAATGCTTGATGAGGGTCTGTAATACGTGCAGTGGGAAAGCTGTCCCTTCCTGTGCATTTTGAGGGCCCAGCCGTGCAACACTTCTGAGTCAAATGGTGCTTGGAACATCATGAAAGCGAGCATTTGCCTGGATAGTACTTGATGATGAGGCAGGTCTGCATCTAAGCAACAAGGGCTTCTTCAAAATCTCATGTGCAAGACATTCTGTGTGGACCCATAGCCGCTCCCCAAGTCGAAGCAAATGTTCGCATTCAAAGAGTTTGAGGCCCTCACATGGCCCAAAAAGGTAATAGCACCTGAGGCTGAGAGCGCTGACAACTACAAGTTCTGTTTGGTCTTCGAAGGCCCATGCATTTGGATTGTTCTGGGGTTGGCACCCAAGCCAGCCACCTGAAAGAGCCAGGTAGCACCGTTAAGGATGTGTACCGTGTCCTTGGCAAGGGCATGGGTGTCATTCTCTGTTGGCAACCACGCACGCGATTACCTTCGCGGGCCAACCTGAATGACTTTCAGCTTCGGGCCACGTGCTGAGCGTTGACCTGGCCGCTAAGTGCAAGGAAGTGCAAGGGCTGACTCCAGTTGAACATCAGACTCACACCGCTCAATCTAAGTTAAGTCAGATCTGCGTCCGCCGCATGGTAGGCACAGTCATAGAAGTTGTGGGCATTCAGCGCAAGGTCCATATAGGCGTTGCGAGCTGAGACGGTCGGAACGTGCCAATGCAAAACTCCCATGCAAGCACCACTCGTTCTGCTGCTGCATATGCGTACTGCATATCTCTGGAAATCAGAAGCGTGCAGTTGAGTGCAACAGTCCATCTGTTCCCCTCTCACCCAGTCTGTGCACTCCCAGAATCGCGTGAGTAGTGTGAACCAGGAAGGGAAAGCTAATAAAGCCCATGCCGCGTCTAATTCTTCCCTCATTGATGAATCCCTGTGTCCGAGAGCGCCGACATAAGGGATCCAGGTAGACTTCGTACAGCTCCACCACGAAGCTGCAGCAGCAGCTCCTGACGTCGCAAGCCTGTCATTAGTCATGATTGCCTATACTCGCCGACCCCGCTCAGTGTCTGAGCCCTGGGTCCGGGGCAGGATTGCGCACACCTTGGAAGGCCGGTATGAATAGCAATACAACACAAAATCTGATGCTCACGGTATATTGGGCCGACCTTGCCAAAGCAAGGTCTTCATTTGTCGAGGATTCCCAAGCTTGCCAGGGCGCTGAGTTGCTCTCCATGCGCACCGCCCCAGACAGGACGCCAAGCACGATCCTATCAAGTTTTCTGGTCTTGTCAATCGCATGGCACTCGTTCGTCAAGCTGCCCAGAATGGGCTCACCAAGGCGACACAGCAAAGCATGCAAAACACTCAAAGCAAGCAAGGCATAAAGCGTCTCTCAAGTACAAGAGATGCTGTGCATTGCAGCTGGCCTGAACGGCTGAGCTGTTCCAACGATAAGACCACCACTTGCCACCGTGCCGAAATGGTATCTGGGCAAGGACCAGGTGCGCGCTGCTCAAGCCCGCTGATGTGATTTGCTTGCAAGTCGAAAAAAGTAGCCTTGTCCAAATTGTGACAGGTCGCGCCTGAGGCAAATGAAGTAGCCTCGAAGAATGGAGCAGCAGGGCCTACAAGTCTGATGCTGACGCCGCCTCCATCCGCTGTTCCGGGAAACTATTGAGCTGGGCAGCGCATGCCCTCGGCCCTGCATGCCACCGTTGAAGAACCAGAGCTCCGTGCTGCCGCGCAAGTGACGGCGTTGCAAAATTCAACAAGTCACAAAAGGGGAGGGTTGCATGAGGCCGATATTCGTTCACTCATTGGCTAGCTCTTCTTGTGTCCCTGCTTGCGCTCGCTGACTCGGACCTCGTCGCAGCTTGTCAGGCTCCATGCCCATGGAAAACAAAGCTAAGACCAGTTACAGCAGTTGGTTTCCCAACTGGTTGTTCCTTGCTATGTGCTCCCCCATTCGAAGCAACGCCTTGTCCTTGACTTGGCAGCTTGATTTGGCACCCAGACGTGGTCTCCGGTTGCTGGCAACGGGTAGTTCAATTCAAGCGCGCCGATTTGCGCAACTGCGGTTTGGGGGTCGAAGTGATAAGCAGGGGCAAGTGGGGAGACAACTGAAGAGACAGGTTCGAGACAGCAAGCACAAGCAAAGAGACAAGTGGAGAGACAGGTTCGAGACAAGTGGGCATAAGGAGAGAATCCCAACTACTGAGCGGTTTGAGGAATAAGGAATAAAGTGGACATCTTACATCAGCGACCAAGGTAGATGCAAAATCAATGAAGAATGTAGTTCTGCTGGGCCAGCAATCTGAGCCAGCATTGCTTGCAAGACATGTTACGCATCACACACAAAAACCAGCCAGGCAGTCGTGTACATGATGACAAAATCAGCCACTGCAGTAATGATCCAATTCCTCGGTAAATATCTTTGCGCAGGTCCGAGCCACGTCCCTGCAGGAAGGCACACCGTGGTGGACAACTGCTTCAGAACCATGTTTGGGCAATCTGCTTTGGAAATGGTTCGGGAAAGCGCATCTTTTGGGATTCGGAAACGGCTTGGAAACTATAAGCGCTTCCGAAAACGCGCAAGCGTCTCCGACACTATGAAGATGATTTCAGAAACTACAACGTTCCTCGGAAACCATGGCATTAACACACAAATGGACTTACAGCGAGTTCCACGGCTCAACTTCTTGGTGGCAAGCGCTCTGCTAGGCAGGGTGTGCTGTTCTATCTGGCAGTTCAACATCTTGCCGGTGGTGTTCTGCTGGCACGTGCCGTTGCGAACCATGGAGTGAAGCCAGCATGTCTAAGTCATAAAACTGACACCAGTGGTAGCTGTTTCTGCATCGGTGTTGCTGACGCGGGGGTTCAAGAACCCAGCAACTTCTGAAACGCAGGTGCTGTTTCTGAACTGCGCTTTATAAAGCGGAGACGGCTTCTGGACTACAATCTCGGAGGGAAGGAGTCATTAACTGCTTCCGAAACTATGCCTCGGAAAGTACAGAAACTATGCTTCGAAGCTATGCTTCAGAAATATTCGGAAACCAAGAGACTATGCTTCAGCCTTCAGCCTTCAGGTTTGGTCTGCGGTCTGTCTCAGAAACTAGGCTTCGCATAGTGTGTTTTGGCAACCAAGCGTCCAATGAAAATTCGCTTCAAAAACTTTGCTTGCTGCTTTCCGCTTCCAGTAGCTCGCAAGAGGCTGGTACAATGAAGGCCCTTCTTCAACGAGGGTCCTTACCCCACTTGAATGTGAGAATAAGCACCTACCATATACCAGGATCCTGGCAGCTGCTGTCTGGGCTTGGGGGTTGGGGCCATCATGGCCAACCACTTCTACATCAAATTCATTTTTGCTACGTCGAACAGGAAAGGGAGAGCTGTCATCCTCTAGCTCCTACGCAAACTGGTGGAATGCAACAGCTGATGTGGGAGGTGGGAAGATAGCTTGTCCCACGTCCACCATGTATAAGTCAGTCACTCAATACCATGCTTGTCAGTCGCCCATCAAGGAATAGGAGGGAGTACAAGCAGGCAGCTTGCTTTCTTCTCTGAGCGCACTACAACAAATGCTTTGATGTGGGTTTCTTTTGACAGCTAATTGGGTTTGGCGTTGGCTTCGTGTGGTTCAGCACTTGCAACATCCTCAGCATGGCCTGCAACTGGTTTTCCAAAAGGGAAGCGAAAATTAGGACCAAAAATTGGATCCCTTAGCATCCTCACGTCGCCCGCAAGTCGACCTGCAACATCCTGAGCATTGTCTGCAACTACCTAGCTTTCCAAAACGGATGCTAGTACCAGTCTTTCAAATGGCTGCGGCCTTGCCCCCTCCCCCCCCAAGGTAGTTTGTGAGCTGCGTGCGCTAGTTACAAATTCTGATATTTGTCTTGCTGGCTTTCTTCAGTCTAGTCTTGAGGAAGCCATCGGCAGGTGTTGGCCCACATTGGCCCGGTCAATCCCAGGTTCACCCTACAATACAGAGCAACTGTCTCGCCATGAATCCCCACTCAGACCCGCCGTTCATCTAAATCGTGCTTACACTTGGAAACTCACGTGCCGCCCCGTGTCGTCCAAAGGCACCAGCATGTCACAATCGCAAGCCTCAGCGGATTGTGCGCTTCACAGAGAGAAAGTTCAATTGCGGTGGCCAAACAGATCGAAGAAGTCTTGCAGTGACCGCTAAGGGTGCCGCATCGTAATCTGAGTTTCATCTTGAGGTGGCAAGAGCGATTGGTAGCTCGTTTCGGCGATCTGCACGCAGCTTCACAATGATGTTCATGCAAACAGTGCAGCACTTGCTTTGGGGTCAGCTTGGGGCGGCTTGTACAACACCTGCCTTGTCGTCTTGCAGATCTGACGTCAGTATCATTGCAATGAGGCATAAGGCCGCAAAGTCAACAATTCCGCGGCAAGTCAGGGCAAGAACAGGCTCCATCCTGGGTGCAATTGACTCAACCAGTCCAACTGTACACGTCCAACTTAACGTACGACTGAATGTTAATGCCTGGAAGTCTGAGTCTTTGGAAGCTAGAAAGGCTGTCGTGAAAACCCAAGATGGCTAACCCTACGCATCCCGAAGTGAGCGGTGTTCGTGCTGTCTGCGCAGTTGCTTCAGTGATAAGTGTCAGATTAGCACACATGCCGTCTTCCAATCAAGAAACAGTCCGATCCGTCTACTTTTACGAAAGGAAAGAACTAGACGCAGAGTATCCAGTGAGTCAACATGCTTTGCCCGAGGCTTACAATTTGATGCTAGAGGGACCAGCGCTTGTGTTGGGTTCCGACGGAAAAGCAGCAAAAAGACTTTGGCAGACCGAAGCCGCTCAGAGAATGGGAGCAACTCAAGTGATATCTGTCGCAAGCAATGCGTGCAAATACAGCTGCCCAAGTAGCTCTGCGCAAGCAGCGCAGCAAAAGCGTCGTTGCGCAAAGGCGCTGTGCAAGCAGTATTGGCAAGAGGCGCCGCGCACTAAAGCGCAATGAACATGACAAAACTGATCCTGCGCTAATGTGCTTCTTTGCAAAACAACAATCGTGCTGCTCTTGGAAGACATGGACATTTGCGAGCAAGAGCTGCAGGGGATCACGCGTGCAAGGCACTCTTTTTATGTATAGCGCTGCAGCAACGCACTTTAAGTACCGCTTGGCTTTCTTGCGCGCTGAACAACCGCACAAAGCAATCCGTTGCGCAAGCATCAAAAGCAGCGATCAAGCAGCGGAGCTCAGGCAGGCTACCGCCTTTTTTGCGAAGAACCGTTCCTGGAATTGTCAAACACATGCTTTTCAGCCTCGATTCAGCCTCACAACAGCTGAGGCTGCAGCTTCAGCGAGGGCGTCTCCAGAACAGCCTTGCAGGACCATTCGATGCAATTGATAGCCAGCTCCACGTCTTGCTCCAAATTGCCTTGGAAGCAGAGCTTGCACTCCAAAGAAATGAATCATGCTTCTACCCTGCAATGTTCCAAACCAATGTAAGAGGCGCGGAAGGACATCTTGCTGCGAAGATCGGCGTGCTTCCAGTACATCAGCAAAATCTAAAACAGGAAATCACTTTTTTCGGCGCACCAAACCGGGGGGCATGTGATCGTCATGAAGGTGATGCCGATCAATGTCATTCCAAAGCCAGTGCCAGCATCTGTCAACCTGGCTAGACCCCAATCTTTGACCGTCCTCTGAAAGGCATGAATCCACTCAAACTCTGCCAAACACGTCTCATTGTGAGAGAGTCTGAGGCGGTTGACAAATCTGCAGTTTGGATCAAGCTGCTCTCATAAACATGCTGCGCAAGGCTTGTCGCCAGTGCTGGCCCAGCATTGCCCATCACCCCGTTTCCAGCACCACCTGATAGTGGACGGGACAGATGCACAGCGGATGGCAAGCTTCGCTGAAGCGTCACAATTGCCAAAATTTGCCAAAGCCAAGCGTCAGGAAGTATAAGCCAGTGCTCAGCGGCCCAAGCGTGAGGATGGTAAGCCCAGCCCACACCTGTCTAGGAGCTGGTGAGAACAGCAAAAAAAGCTGTTGGGGGAAGCATCACATGAACCTTTGGATCGATTTAGAATGACTTTGGGAAGTGGGTGGGGAGAATGTAGAGGAGGTTGGCCTAGAATGTGACGAGGGGATGTGACAGGAATGTGAAGGTGCAGCAAGCAAGCCAAAGGTACAAGCCACATATGTAAAACAGCCAAAGACGCAAGTACAGGTAGTTGTGGGCCAAAGGATCAACGTCCACCCAAAGCAGTGCACTGGGCCAATGACCAGCATGCTGGCTCTGAAGCGCAGCAAGGTGATATAGACATAGCTCAGGATTACACCTGCGAAAAGTGGGAAAAAACAGAAAAGATGAACTGCGCTTGCTTTGCCCGGCCAGAAGCTGCTGCCACCAGCAGCGGCCAGTAGGAGTTGATCAGGGTGGCCCAAGTGTTCACCAAGGGCGTCTTGTCAATCCAGTCCTGCACCTGCTGGGAAGGGAAGCACCTTGCTACCAAAAGAATCTAATTACTTCGCTTCGAGCAATCACACTCACGAGCTTACGGCCGTGAACACGGTTGTGTGAATTCAAGCATGGTTTTCGAGTGGCTTGGGGCCTATGACTGCTCAACAAGCTTTGCATTGAGAGCCTTATCCGGCTGTCTGTGTGTCAAACTCCACTTGTCTGCGAGCCGATCTCGAGAACTCAAACGTCGGCTCCGTTAACAAAAGCCAAGCCCTTCCAAAAAGAAACCCGACGGGGGGATTAAACGAAGTTGATTGATTATTCACAACCCAAAGCAACACAAAAGCGTCACCCTTTCTCCGTGAGGGCACACGCCATGAAATCTACGCCGGGCGTAAGCAAACCCAGACTGGCGAGCTGCTCTGGCGGGCTGGCAGGATCCACTGGCGAATCCGGCTCGATACTGGCCGGATACTTGGCAGGGTCCACCGGCAAGGGATACTCAGCATGATATTTGGTGGGATTTACTTGCGACTTTTTTTGGGAAACTCAGCGGGATACTCGGCGGGATCCACTGGCGGGTTGCTCTGGTGGGATACTCGGCGGGATCCACTTGCGAGCTGCTCTGGCGGAATACTCGGCGGGATCCACTGGCAAGCTACTCTGAGGTACTCAGCGGGATACTCGGCTCGGCGGGATCCACTGGCGAGCTACTCTGCGGGATACTTGGCGGGATCCACTGGCGAGCTAGTCTGGGGATCCACTGGCGGGCTGCTCTGGTGGGATACTCAGCGGGATCCACTGGCGAGCCGCCCGGCGGGATACTCGGCGGGATCCACTGGCGAGCAGCTCTGGCGGGATACTGGGCGGGATCCACTGGCGAGCTGCTCTGGCGGGATGCTCGGCGGGATCCACTGGCGAGCAGCAGCTCTGGCGGGATACTCGGCGGGATCGCTCGCCAGTGCTGCTCTGGCGAGACACTCGGCGGGATCGACTGGCGAGCTGCTCTGGCGGGATACTGGGTGGGGGCGTGGTGTAGAAGCATCCAAAACGCGGATTCCAACATAATCAAAGGAAGTTAGAAGGAAACTTCCGAGTTACGGAAACTAATTGAAAGCTAGATGGTGCAGGGAGGGAGGAAGAAAGAATGAAAGGCGCGCGAGAGAAAACATGCGTGCGCATGCGGCGGTGGAATAGAATTTGCGAAGAGGAGCAACCCTCCGCGGGTTTGGTGGTGTGGAGCTGGCTGAAAGCTACCTCAGTCGCGGCGTCTGACGGATGACGGGTGCGGGCAGTCTCGGGACGGAGGCGGCGCCGGGACCGTTGGCACGGCAACGCAGAGGTATCGCAAGGTTTGAATTGCGTGGCAGGCGCAGCTTTTTGGTGAGGTCGGGCGCAGATTTCGTGGCAGGCGCAGCACTTTCGCAAGGTCAAGTTTTCCCAAGCTTTGACTTGCGTGGCAGGCGCAGTACTTTCGAAAGCTCAGATGCAGATTTCGTGGCAGGCGCAGCACTTTCGCAAGGTCAAGTACAGGTTTCATGGCAGGCGCAGCACTTTCGCAAGGTCAAGTGCAGAATTCGTGGCAGGCGCAGCACTTTCGCAAGGTCAAGTACAGAATTCGTGGCAAGCGCAGCACCTTCGCAAGTTTAGGCACAGATAGATAGATAGATAGATGGATGAGATAGAAAGTAGATAGTTAGAGAGATAGATGGATAGATAGATAGATAGATAGAGAGATAGAGAGATAGAGAGATAGAAAGATAGAAAGATAGAAAGATAGATAGAGAAAAAGTAGATAGATAGATAGGTAGAGAGATTGATAGATGGACAGAGAGATAGATGGAGAGAGAAAGAGAGAGAGAGAGAGAGAGAGAGAGAGAGAGAGAGAGAGAGAGAGAGAGAGAGAGAGAGAGAGAGAGAGAGAGAGAGAGAGAGAGAGAGAGAGAGAGAGAGAGAGACAGAGAGAGATATGGATCGAGAAAAAATACGCGCGCGCGCGTGGCAGGGGAAGAGAAAGTCGTAAAAAGCGCAGCCCTGTGCGTGAATCGGCGTTTTCGATTATAAGAAAGTCGCAAAAAGCGTGGCCCTGTGCGTGAATTGACGTCTCCGGAGTTGCGAAAGCTAGCCTGTTCGCGGCGTCTGGTCGGAGCGGGCTCGGAGCATGCTCGGATCACGTTCGGCGCCGGGCCCATTGGCACGGCAGCACAGAGGTTTCGCCAGGTTTGAATTGCGTGGCAGGCGCAGCTTTTTGGCAAGGTCGGGTGCACATTTCGTGGCAGGCGCAGCATTTTCGCAAGGTCAAGGTCTCCCTAGGATTGAATTGAGGGCAGACGCAGCACTTTCGAAAGGTCAGGTACAGATTTCGTGGCAGGCGCAGCACTTTCGAAAGGTCAGGTACAGATTTCGTGGCAGGCACAGCACTTTCGCAAGGTCAAGTACAGAATTCGTGGCAGGTGCACCACTTTCTGCAGATTTCGTAACAGGCGCAGCACTTTCGCAAGGTCATGTACCGAATTCGTGGCAGGCGCAGCACTTTCGCAAGGTCAAGTGCAGAATTTGTGGCAGGCGCAGCACTTTTGCAAGGCCAAGTGCAGAATTCGTGGCAGGCGCAGCACTTTCGCAAGGTCAAGTAAAGAATTTCGTGGCACGCGCAGCACTTTCGCCAAGTGAACTTTCGCAGCCGGGGCTCCAACATCGCAACTTTTGAGTACGAAAGTAGTACGTGAAGGGCTCGAAAATCGCAACTTTTAAGTACGAAAGTAGTACGCGAAGTCAACTTTCGCAGCTGGGTCTTCAAATTCGCAACTTTTAAGTACGGAAGTAGTACGTGAACGCAGCTGCTGGAAAATCACGACTTTTAAGTACCAAAGTATTACGTGAAGTCCAATCGCAACTTTTAAGTACAAAAGTACTACGCGAAGTCAACTTTCGGGGCTTCAAAACGCGCAACTTTTAAGTGCAGATATAGATGGATAGATAGATACATCGATAGACAGATAGAGAGATAGCTAGAGAGATAGATAGAAAGAGAGATAGAGAGAGAAATAGATAGATAGATAGAGAGAGAGAGAGAGAAAAAAAAAAAAGATAGATAGAGACAGAGAGCGAGATAGATAGATAGATAGACAGAGATAGAGAGATAGAAAGATAAAGAGATAGATAAATAGACAGAGAAAAAGAGATAGATAGATAGATAGATAGATAGATAGAGATAAAGAGAGAGATAGAAAGATAGATAAATAGATGGATAGGTAGATAGAGAGATAAATAGATAGATAGAGAGACAGATACAGAGATAGATAAATAGATAGATAAATAAACAAACAGATAGATAGATAGACAAATAAATAGATAGAGAGAGAGAGAGGGATAAATAAATAGATAGAAGGGGAGATAGAGAGATAGATAAGTAAATAGGTAGATGGATAAAGAAATAGATAGATAGATAGATAGATAAAAAAGATAGATAGATAGATAGATAGATAGATAGATAGATAGATAGATAGATAGATGAGGTACATAGATAGATAGGTAAAGAGAGAAAGAGATAGAGAGACAGATAGAGAGATGGATTGATAGAGACATGGAAAGAAAGGTAGATTGAGAGATACAGAGATGGATACATACACGAGAGATAAAGAGATAAATAGATAGATAGAAAGATAAAGAGATAGACAAATAGAGAGAGAGAGATAGATAGATAGGTAGATAAAGGGATACATAGAGAGATAGAGAGATAGATAGACAGACAGACAGATAGATAGATAGATAGATAGATAGATAGATAGAGAGATAGACAGATAGAGAGACAGATAGATAGATAGCTAGATAGATAGATAGATAGATAGATAGATGCGAGGGAGATAGATGGAGAGATAGACAGAGAGAAAGAGACAGAGAGAGAGAGAGATAGAGACATAGAAAGAAAGAAAGAGAGATAGAAAGATAGATAGAGAGATAAACAAATAACTAGATAGACGAACAGAAGATAGATAGACAGATAGATAGATAGATAGATAGAGAAATAAATGGATAAATACATAGAGATAGAGAGAGAGAGATAGAGAGATAGATAGGTAGATGGATAGAGAAATAGAAAGAAAAGATAGGAGAGATAGAAAGATAGGTAGATATATAGATAGAGAGATAGAGAGATACATAGATAGATACATAGATAGATAGATAGATAGATAGATAGATAGATAGATAGATAGATAGATAGATAGATAGATAGATAGATAGAGAAGATAGATAGAGAGATAGATAGATAGATAAGCAGATAGATAGCTAACACGAGAGACAGGTAGATAGATAGGTAGTTAGGTAGATAGATAGGTAGAGAAAGATAGATAGACAGATAGACAGATAGATAGACAGCGAAGAGACAAAAGAAAAAACAGATAGAAAGAAGGAAAGAAGGGAGGAAGGAAGGAAAGAAAGGAAGAGAGGAAGAATGACGGAGAAAAAAGAAACAATGAAAAGGAGGAAGAAGAGAAAAAGACTCAAGAAAAGAAAGAGAAAGAGAACTATCGTTTTTATATTTTGAAAACTTCCGCCCACCGGCTTCGCCGGCTCTACTGGTATCTAACAACCCCTTCCTGTCGGGTGGGGAAAACAGGAAACACTGTGAGTGCCCTGAACCTCACATCCACCCCTTCGCCTGTATCTCAAGGTTCTGCGGCCAGGGCTTGCACACGAGGCCAACAAAAGTGGCTGAGGCATAGCTGCTGACTGGCACCAAGGTGAAGTTCCCACGCCAGTCACCTTGGCTGAATACGACATCATGAGGTCAAATACAGTCAAGCGTGACGCCAGGCAACTGTGGACGATGTTGTCTGGATCAATCTCCGGCTCCACATACTGCATCGAAAGGTTGTCAAGAGATGGCAACAATGGGTTAATCCCTCAATCTGTTAAAGAACTGCAAACAGAGCAACGGATATTACCTGTCTTCACAGCAACGCACCTGCGTGGCTTCCAGCCTCCGTCCTGTGCCTGGCGTGCAAGGGGACTCGAATACAGAGACACGTTCTCTATCTCTCTCTCTCTCTCTCTCTTCAATTCTTTCAAATGTCATGCCGGTAATCTCCACCAACTTCTCTGAAAAAGCGCTTCTCAGCAAAGACATCCAGCATGCACTCAAAATTGAAAAATCGTCGAAACATGCGATTCCTGCAAAGAACATGGGGCAAAATTATGGGTCCCTGTTTTTTTTTCTGGGAAATTGTGTGTGTGTGTGTGTGTGATAGGCTGAGTGTGCCTCAAACGCAATTTCTTATATCAGGCGTGACCATGTTTGGGAGGGTGCTGCTCATCAACCTACTCATGCAGCCACTATCACGCCCTTCTGGCCAGGCCCACATATCATTTGGTCAGGACGGATGCTGTCTTGTGCCGGCGTCTGAGCATGAGCGCTTAACACGCTATTCAATCACTCCTCGAATCTTCATGGTCAACACACCAGCATTGAATCTTCGCTTTCAAGCAAAACAAACACATGCGACCTTCAAAAACAGCACGGCCGCAGCAACCTGAGCTGCGTTGACGTGTGATGTAGAACGGCTATGTTGGCATGTGCTGCGAGCAGCCAAGTTACACCAACGCGCACGGCCTAGCCTTGTTGACATGCGCTGCACGGCAAAGCTTCGTTGACATGCGAACCCTTCGCTACACTTTCGGGAAAAACACGGCTGTCATCGGAGCCCCTCAGGCTTTTGAAGCGCCTCTCGCTGAAAACCTGCAAAAACAGGAGCGAAGTCATTTGTTTATTTTATTTTTTTCGGCTGTTTGAGGCGCCGCTTGCAGCACTTCGCTCGGTTTCACGACGTGCAAAGAACAAAGATAGCGAACGTCCGCTGACGGAAGACATGAAAAACCTGACCAAAACTGGTGTTAGCTAGGCTATTCTTAAAATCATGAAGTTCCTGTGTGAGCCAATTCGTGAGGGTCAAGCAAGTCGCTTGCCACCATCTGTGCAACAAGTGGAGTGGCATTCTGACGATTCTGTCGCCATGGCCGGGCCTGGCTTGAACCAGGATTCCTTCGCACCTGGGCATGTCCATCTCTCCGGATTCTCTAGACTGCATTTCGCTGCTTCGTTTGTTACGAGTCTGCAAACCCGCGTTCTCCAGCATGTCTCTCTCTCTCTCTCTTTCTCGCTTTCTCCCGCCTGGGGGAAGCTCATAGTTGGGTTCCGGGCTTCCTGGAATGCTGCGACTTGTCTCAGGCCGTGAGCTGTTATTTGGCGTTTGCTTCCCGTGGCACTTTGTCGTGGCAACTTGAAATGGACAATCAACAAATCAAGGGCAGGCCAGACCAATCGCAGCGCAAAGCTGGCCCAAGCTGGCTAGTAAGCACAAACAGCACGCAGCCGTCCTGCACCCCAGTCTAGCTCTTCGATAGCGCGTTTCTGTTCCCGCCGACGTTCTTTCTCGGCTTTCCGTTCTGCTTTCTCGGCTTTCCATTCTGCTTTCTGGGCTTTCCGGTCTTCCACACCTCGGATATGTACAAACAAGACTTGCGCACAGCCTGAACATGTGGGACTAAACCAGGACAATCATGTGAAAGTCTGCCAAGCGCTGGGCTCAGAAGGTGCACAGCTGAGCCTCCTGGGTGTCACTTGCCTTCTGTGACAACTTTGGCAAGTGCAGAAGGTCGGAACGACCGGGTGATACCGTGGCAGACTTCATTGTGTCCGTGCTCCCGTCCAGCTGCCACGTCGGCCGGCTGCCAGTAAGGGGTGAAGCCCTCACCCACTGGGTGCAGCTCCGGCATGTAGGGGCTTCGTGGACCTCCATCCGGCACTCAAAGCTTAATTTACAGAGTGGAAAGAGATGCCAAAAGCAAGCACCATGTTCAGGTTTACAATCTCCAAGCGTTTGTGCAGCTGATTTGCTGCAAGCATGTTAACTGTTGTGCCCGTTTTCAGGTGTTCAAAGGTGATGCCATGCCAAAATCAGGACTGGTATTTGCGTGGGGCAAAGCCACAGCTGCTGCAAATGCAAATCCATCAGTGGGCGGACGCGTCACAGGAGTCGCAGGATCCAAGTAGGCAGTTTTTCTGTGCAGCGCCGCATTTTGTGCGCACGTGCATCAAGAATGGATTTCCTGACCAATCCACTGGCAGCTCCTTGATTGCCTTCTGCTCTCCATCTCTGTCTCCATCGCTGGTTCTGTTGCTTAGTCTCTCTCGCCAGCACAGAAGGGGCGAGCAACGCCCTTGCACAACCTTAAGCATCCTTGACTGTGAAGCCATTTTCTGGAACAATGTCTAGAATGTGCTTTTAAGAGCAAGGGACATCACACACATTTGACTAGAGCCCTTCTCCCGCCTGGATATGGCGTGTCCGACCACCCATAGGCTTTATGGCTAGTGTAGCCTCCCTGTTCGGCCTGGCGGAGTGAGAAGCACACTGGCAATCAGACTGCAAAGAGCATGGGGTGAAAGTCGGAGCCCGTCTGGTCACAAGCGGAGCTGCAAAACACTCCTCATGGAACTTGCACCTCAGAACATGTGCTGTGAATTCACCCACATGAAACAAGAAGACCCACTAAATACCACCGGCACCCCGCCCGTCGGCACCTGACCAGATCCCACCGCGCACAGCCTTACGCACTCCCTTCTCGCTTCCGGCACGAACTCCCGTCACCCACACCCACTGTCTCCCCAAGCCAAAACCCACGCGCACACACCTCCACCGCCGGCATGCGCGATGCGCTCCCAACCCGTCACTTCCATTGCTGCCTCTGCCTGGCTCTCGCTCGGGCCAAGTCCCACCAGCGAGCCGTCCACGCCTTCTCGCTGCCTTTCCCTGGACCGCATCCCAACATGCAGCCGCGCGCACCCACGTCACCTCGCCCGCTGCCTTCGCCGAACCGAGTCCCACTGACACGCGCACCGTCACCTCCCTTTCTCGCTGCCTCTGCCAAGCCAAATCCCATCGGCGCCCGAGCATTCGCGACTGGCATTTTCCAGCCCAAAAACCTTTGTGGGTTGGGTTGGTTGTCTATCGCGAGGGAGTGAGGAGCGCCTTTGGAAGGCTTCACGAGCCTGCAGTATGCCGCGTGAACGCCGAATAGGTGGCTTGCCAACAGAATTGCCGCGAACGGCATCGCGGGTGACCGATGGTGGTGGGGCTCTGTGCTGTAGTCTCTTGACTTCTCAGGCGTCACCTATTTTCTATCAAAGTCAAGCCTCTGTGTTTAGTTTCATTACGGATCGTGAGAACCTCAAGGCACGGCAAGGAGTGATGCTACAATAGACTTGATGTAGCATCGGAACTGTCGATCAGTTGAGCAACGGATTGTTAAAATTGCGACTGCAACTCACAGGCTTTTTCAAGTATTTTGCGATGCAAGCACAATACCGTGCTTGTCAAGGTTTGGCTTAGCGCCATCTTCTGATACAACCAATCTGCCAGCCTCAGTAATTCGCTGGTAGAGGAGCGTTGTAGAGCTCGTGGTCGTTGTCTCAGGCCAGGACGGACATTGGAGTCACATGATACCAATGACGTGATGATGCTATGTTGGAAAAATGTGGTGTGAAGGTCCTGCCTCATCTGGTCGCGGCTCTAACTTCAAATTCCTCGCGCAGCACAAAGATGCACCTTCCGAAAATGCATCCCCCTGTTCTATTGCTTCTGTGCCTTCAAATGTTGGTTCAACCTGCACGCTTACAGGGTATCCGAGTATTGCGGCTCCCGCCAGCTCCTGAACAGGGGTTGCGTGCTTTATATGATCGAGCTTTGTGTTTATGTAGTGTATGCATGCATAGACAACGGCTTAGAGAATGGAGGTCTTCCAACTCATCGTGCCTGCCATGACTATTGGCATTGCCTCGTGCTTCAATACCTTCCAATCCATCCATATCACATAGACCTGTCCATTCTGTGCTTTCCCTGCCGCCATGCATTGCTGTTGTCTTATCTGAATCGTTTCTATTCCATGGCTTCCACATTGGCAAGCCATGCATGGCAACGTTTGTCCATGACTTTCCACATCTTCCAAGGCTCCCATGGCTTGTTTCAAGCGCCATGAATGTGCACGGGCGATATCCCCCTGGTTCCAAGGTCATTCATGCTGTCCAACCCTCCCAGTTGCTTGGGCTGCTTTGAGCTGGCCATTGCTTCCATGTCGTGGTCTTTCAGCCGCCGTGTTGCAAGCTGACTTCGATTGCTCCCATGGCCATCCTGCCTTGGGCACAAGAACACCTCCTCCTTGGCTTTAAGAGGACCTGAAGCCAGATGCCGAGTGCACTCTCTGCCTGTCTGCAAAGATTCGATTGCAAATTATTCTGATCCCCACACGTCTAGTGTCACATCCAGAAGCATCTATCGTTGGAAACCCACTATCAATTCTCTTGTGGCAAAGCAAGCTCAAGTATAAGTACCAGCTTGGAAGTGTCAGCGGGTGCAGGCCAAGAGCCGCGCAGTCTGACACACAGATCGGATACATCATGTTCAGTTCTGAGCGCGAGTTGGGAGACTTTCAGCAAAGCAGAAATGCATAGCATGCTTCTGCAACATCATGCTCCGGCCATTCTAAGGAATGCTGCCACCATTTATTCTTGCAAATTCGGTTGTCTCTCTGATCGTTGCAACTCATGGCGGGCTCCAGTCTTGTCATTGCCAAGTGGCGGGTTCGTGTTGGATCATCGTCTTTTAAGCAGAAATAGAGGAAGGACACATTCCTCGCTGCCCGAAGATCATTGCCCTTCCAGCTTAGGATGTGGGGAAATGACGCCTTGTCAGTTTCTCATCTCGCCTTGTCAGTTTATCATCTCAGAAAGTCCAGTTCATTTTGACAGCCAGACATCATGCTATTCATCCAATGTCCGTCACACTGCATAACTCTGCAGCTGAGTAAGTGCCAAGGCCGCTCGCACAGTTCTGACACTATTGTTTATTCCATTCCGGCAACAACTAAGGAAGACTAGCGGTGTCCGCGCATGAAGGAGCAGAAAAGTTACGAATGACCACAAGATTGGCCCAAATCAAAGAAGAAGAAGAAGCAGAAAAGACATGCACGGATTGGGTACGAGCATGTATACCTCGCGAAGTAACAAAGAGTAACAGCATGTCCTAAACCCCCGTGCCGGGCAGCTCTCACCACCCGTGTTGGCTTGCCTGCCTGCGATGCAATCCGTCCGAGGCACTGATTGTGCCCAAGGCCGCACTTCTCCCCCTGCCAGTCCGCAAGCTTTAAGAGGTATCCTGGGTGCCTTCGCGGCCAGGCATAGACACCCACCTAAACTCATGAGTCACGTGAGCGCGGAAATCTCAAGATCGTATCGATCGTGTCGATCGTGTCGATCGTGTCGATCGTGTCGATCGTGTCTGGGCGCTCAGCATATACAACCACCGCACTGAAGGCGACGTACAGCAGAAGCCAACCTCCGAAAGCTCCAAAGGCTAACTCCCGTTGCCAGACTCAGACAAGCCGAGGCACCAATGTCTGTGCATTGGCGTGGCCTGGGCTGCACACGCGGGTGGCATCGTCTAAGAATGCAACAAGAATGCTCTGCTGCGCTTGGGGCTGCGGCACTGTGGAGGGAGTTGCCCCCACGTCAAAGGGATCCCTTGGATTCTTGTGAAGGGCAAGGCCTGGCACTAAAGCAAGTCTGCCTCTGCAAACGTCGTTACTGCTCTGCAAGTTCATGAGAATATTAAAATCCAACAGTCATGCCGTACCTCGTCGCGCATGTGGACCCTACAGCGGCTGCTATCCGCTTTCTGGACAAGCAAAATTCGGAATGCTGTGCGCAAGCAAGTGTGCTTACAACAGGAAATCGTCACGCGCTCAGCTCTGCATGTGCGTGGGCACAGCTGGTGTGTCGTCTATACGCATCGCTTAATGCACGGCATAAGGCGCCGCGCAGCTGACTGGCAGCCATTTCGATTGAAATTGCAAGAGGCGCAGAGAATGCATGAAGCCGGCTCTGCCTCATCGACTTTGTCTGTTCATCTGTGTGCTGTCAAGGGCGCATTTGCTTTTTGTCGCATGTTTTTCTCCTTTGGCTCTTTCGTCACAGCAAAGGACCCTCTCTAATGTGCGTCAAATGAGCGTGGCCTATCTGGGCACGAAAGCACAGCCGGCATTGCCTTCATCAGACTCGCTCTCCCCCTGCAGCGTCCACTTGTGTGGGTCGTGCAAGCCAATGTACACCGAAACTTGGTTGCTACACCAACACGGAATGTGTGCTGGCTCTGACACACTAAATATGCAAAAAACACTCGAGTGAAGTGAAGGAGTCCAAGCCTTTCTCAAGACATGCTATTCTATTTGACAGCTACTTGGGAGCAGCTACCGTTATTTTGGAAGCCCGATGCTTGGATGTTACTTGGTACTGAATGTGCAAAGTGCCGTCTTCCTATAAACCTCAATAAATTGCGCAATGTTCCCAATGTCGGGAGTGAAATATCGTTTCGTTTGGGTCATGAAAACCAAAAGATTTGGGTGAGTCGGCTCCAATGAGAATAACTCCAAATACTTCAGCGCAACGGCCTCCTCCTTGCCCGACTTGGGCGTAGAGCTATCCGACTTGGTCTCCCACTCCTAGCTTCAAGTGACCATTTTGGCCGTGTGACATCACAAGCACTTGCCGACTGATTGACTGGGGAAGGAGTTGTTTGGACAAAGAGGTACAGAAAAAGAAAAGAAGAAAGCAAAAAAAGGAAGCACAACGGGCATGGGCCGCATGCGCCGCATGCACTGATACCGTGGCGACAGCGGGCCCGCCCGTTAGCTCCGATTGCTCTGATAACCACTGCCCAAATTGATCTCAGCGACGGTCCTGAGCCTCATCTGCAAAGGGCGATGGTGCTGCCTCTTTGGCGCCTCACAGTGGCAAAGGGGCCAAACCGGTCTCCGCTCTCCTTTGCGTCAATTCTCTGCTTCAGAATCGACACCAGTCTCCGCTCTGATGCGACTGAAGGTGCGACGTGGCTGAAGTTTAGTCAAGGGCTCTGAGTTCGGATCTGAACTCTCTGGACTGCGCCGGCATTCGCAGCCAGCTGATAGCCCCGGGACCTCACGGTATGTCAGAAGTCTGCCCTGAACCTACGGACTGCCTCTGCTGCAAGCCTAAATGCATCTAAAAGCTGGTTGTCACGTTCCACAGGTTTGCAACATGCTCGGAACGACTTTGGCCGCAATGCTGTGCACAGGGAGATTGAGAAGAGCTGGGCGTCCCTGCAGAGGCGCCATGAAATCAGCACCAGCGCAAGATAGCTTATCTAATCACTGAAATGGCAACGCGCACACAAAATGTGAAGCACCTCTGCCGATTCACACCTATTTTTTGCCTCCAACCGCGGGAAATGCAATTTTCCCCTCCATTCGCGCTTGCACGCACAGGAACGGCTAATGACCTTCCCCAATGAATTCGGTTGGCCTGTCTGAACAGGCCACGACCCAGGATGGCAGCAGTTGGGAGGGTCACACGGGGCAAATCGCTCAGCTTGAGAAGCTTGCAACCTCAGCTTAGTCATGCGCAGTATTTGGCCAACATGGACCGAATGGAACATGTTTTGCCGTCGATTTTCAGAGCCAAACTTGTCATTGGTGGTTTGCTGCATATCCACTCCGCCGGCTGGCGGGTAGATGGTAGGCAAATGGGAAAGTTGAAGACTATATTGGCTAGGATCGATCTAGTTCTTTCAGTGGTTTTGTTCGCTCAAATGGTCATAGTCGAAAGAAAAATGCTCCGTAGGAAAAAGTTCATAGCAGCCCAGGAAGTCACTGCAAATGCCTCAAACTGTACAATATTCATCATGCTACTTGCATCGACTCGAGGTGATGTTTTGCCGGTGTGAAACCTGCTGCATTCAATAGTATCGAAACAGGCAATAGTGTCGAAACTGGCACACCTCTCTCCAATCTGTTAATCTGTTATTGCTTGATTGCCCCCATAGCTGGCCTGCACTTCTGGTGGCTTAAAATGCATAATGTGAGAGGACCGATATTGAAGAATACATGGAAACAAAGTAGAGCACCAACGTTTTTTGGGCCAGTCTTGCCAAGCGACCTTTGGTGTGCCATATCGAGCACCTGGGCAAGTGACAGGGCAAGGTGAATACTGTCAGAAAAGCTTCGCGTGCACTTTCATCTATCGTTGCATCACGCCCAGGTGCCCGCACGCCAACGTCGAGTTGCATCCCACAGCGACAGCAGTTGCGAGCACAGGACCTGCTGCGACCTGCCAGAAGCTCAACGTAGCTGGAAAGCCCCAAAATGCTGACGTGCAACATACTCCACAGTGCGAGCATTCCTTGAGAGTTTCTTGCTCGAGCCTCGGGTCTAGCTGCCCTTGGAGCTCCCAAATGTCTGCAGCATCCTGAATGCCAGCACTGCAAGCACTGCTTGCCAATTGTTACAAAGTAGTTGCTCGGATGATGCCCAAGCAAACATGTATACCTGAAATGTTGTGAGATTTGCTTGCGGCAACTCACCGGGCATCCCTGCCACAGCTGCCGCGAAGGCCGACAACAAGTCTCGGCCGCTGGAGAGAAGCTCCTCAGGGAGGTCTTCCGGCATTGGCCTTGATGTTGTTCTTTGCCCCCAGTATTAAAGTTGCCCAAGGCCCCACGACCCGATGGCATCAAATATCACCATCCACCGGCTCTGGCTCCTGCTGCTCCGAGACACTTGATTTGCCGCGAACGCCTAGCCGAAAATTGAGGGAGCAGAATTTAATGGTTCACGCATTGACCCCAACTATGCTCGAGCTATCTTCAACATGTAGTTTGTTTGTCAGCACAGTGGGTCCCCACATTGCAGGTTGCAGAGTCGCCTCGCTCAAGTGATGGCACCTCACCAACAAAAAGCAATTATTATTTTCCTGCAGCCCTTGGCCACTGCTCCATATTGAGCTAAAGTGGATTGGATAGTCTAAACAAATCTTGCAGTCACGGAGCTGCTGGTCTTTCCTTCGCTGTTCAGACTTTCATGAATCCGCAATCTACCGCCTCCCATCTCAAAAACTGGCAAGCCATTGTCAGAGCGGGAAGAGGATTGCCGTTCCAGCTGCTCATAGTCCTTCTTCTGAAGCCAACCCACAAGAGTGTAAATCCAAACGATGTGAAGTCACTCACAATCTAGGTTCTTCCAAATGGGCAGCACCAACTACTCCCACAAAGGACTTGATGATGTTTCAGCATGCTCAGGTGAACATCTTTGTTTATTGTCCAGGATCCCTCATTTTTTAGCGCGGAAAATCCAAGATCCCAATTGCAACAATGAGCTGAAGTTCCTTTCTGCCACACAGCTGCCTGTATGTGGACTCCTCAGGCCCGAGGAAATCAAGCAAGGTAGGATGTAAGGCTAGCTGGACACTTTTGAACTTGCCAACCAAATTCGGTGTTTATCAGCCAATACGGCGTTTATCCATACTGTCCATACTCAACCACAACCCAGTCTGGCTGTGTCACTGCATCTGAGCCCGCATCATTCTGATCGACTTCGAGCATTTGGCCCACAAGCGTTTGTCAATGCCAATTTGCCACCTGCGCACCGTCCCGCCGTCAAAGTCAAAGCAAGTTCTGTTCCAAAACAGCACAATTCCAACAACATGCCTGCTATGTGAGTGACAACATGTCAATGTATCCAAGCTAGTTCGCCACCTGCCTGTGCGACCACTCAGTCAACTTCAAAGCAAGTTCAATGCCAAAAGCACAAGTCCAGGCGAGCGACACGTCTACTATGTTGTGCGATTGAGGAAAACTGTGATCCACAACCCCCAGCACCCTACTCGCCTTGCAGTCTTTCCTGCAGAGCTCTTAGGTACGTATCCAACAGGACGATTCGCCTGCGCATGGTTCAAGAGAACTTTGGAAGGCCCCAAGGCCTTTTCACAATTTTCCCAGCAAGAGACCCCAAATAGTATTGGGTTTAGCAAAGGGTCCAAGATGAATGGGTTCCCCTGACTCTTGCGGGACAAACGGAGGGCCGAGAGAGACAGAGAGAGCAAGAGAAAGAGAAAGAGACAGCAAACACAGTTCTCGAAAGCCCACAAAGCGGCAATACTAATTCCTTATCGCTCCTTCCCCATACTCTTTTGTGAAAAACGCCGAACATTTTGTAGATGATCAACATTGACGACATGTCAATATTTCTTAGGGCCAATGTGAGCTCTGAAGCAATGACAAGTCGCGAGGAAAAGGTGTCTTGCGCGCGACGGTTTCACGTGAAACAGACCTGTCTTCAAAACTGCGCTCTTGCTGTGGCGCCGTGCCATTCCATGTTGACGTCTTGATTCCATGGCTAGCGCACCATTCTGTGAGATTGGCGTTCAGTTTTCGTGGCGTTTGGTGCTGATATGTTTCGTGCCAAGCGCCGCATTGTGACAAACAGGGGCTCAAATTTCGTAATGTGAGCAAGTGTTGTAATGTGAACGTGAGCCCTCTGCCTGGTCGACTCACTGTGAAAGACGGAAGCAAACCTTCTGCGGATTTTAGGCTGGAGTGGCTGTGACGCGTTGCGAAAGCTGAAAGACGAAAAGCGAAATGTCTGGGACGTTGGGCTGGCTGCGCCTACCGCGTGGAACAAATTTTGACAGACGAAGCACAAGATGAGAGCGACCCCTTCGCGGACCTTGGGAACGAGAGCAAGCCTTTGGAGACCTTGGGCTGTGGTTGTGGTGCGCGAACAAAGGCAGCAGAACGGAGAGCGCGTTTTACATCGTGAGTCTTGGCTCAGAGATGAGTGTGTGTTTCTGCTGGCGAACCTGAGAGTCTGAAGGCGCCCCAAGGTATCCAATGGTCTAGGGCTCCGACTGTTCAAGTGTCAGTCGTGTCCTGGCCCGACAAGGCCGCTAGTGGCCCTGCCACCAGAAGCGAACTTGCTCTCAAAAGAACGCATTTGGCACAGTGCTTGCGCCAAAAATCATTAAACACACACATTGCTGTAAAAAGAAACATGGCGCAGGCGCGACGCTTCCTCGACAAAAATTCGCACAGCACCGCAGCCGCGGCGTATTTTTCGCAATGAGGGGCAGACTGTCACATCGAGGACAACTTTTTGCCCAAACTGCCAACACTTTGAGCGCGAACCCTCGGTCTAAGCCAGCCTTACCTCTTACTGACCCGTTCGTGTAAGCACGGTTTGGGGAAGCATGCAAATTGGAATGCGTAACAAAGCGGCCTTAAAGGCTCCTGGAACGCCTCCGTCAGCGTGGCCATGGCACCCTCCGCGAAGGCCCGCAGAGCCTCCTGGGACTGGCGTTTCCGAGGCTGCCACCAAGCTCGCGGGTCCTTCACCACAAGGCCGTCATCCAAGCTTTGCGCCTGCCGATTTGCGGCTTTCTGGGTTCTTGGTCCATGTCCGTGAGCCTCTGAGTGCTTAGTTTGCGCTATCAAGTGATCGTATGCGATTCAAAGGGTCCCGGAGTACCTTGAGTTGTCAGTTTCAGAACGCACTCTGAACCGACCAACATTGCTTGAGCATGAACCCGTCCAACAGACGTCCTCTTCTACCCTGGTTGTTGCCATGGAGGGCAGACTGAGCATTTTTCTGTTCTTTGACGTGAGACGACTGGACATGGGCCAGGGCCAGGGAATCAAGCTGGGCCTAGGGCGCCGGGTGCTGTTGAAGAAGCTCAGTTTCCTCAGCTCGGGAACCTGATCTCGAACCAGAGTTCGATCAGCTGCACTTCAAGTACGTGAAAGGGGGTGCACGGCTGAACCCGTGGCTCACCTCTACATCAAGCCGCAATTGGCGTGTAGTTCTGGAGCTGGAGTCAATGCGACCGTTTGGAGCAGCGGGCCCAGTCTATGATGTGCGTCCTTCCTTCGTCCTTGAAGGGCGATCTACGTCCACCACAGGCGCGCGGGCAGGAGGCTTGGGAGAAGGGGCCTTCCTTCTGAGGCGGGCGGAGCCGAACATTCGGGGACCTTGGGTAAAGGGACAGAGGAGCACGGAAAAGTGGGTGGCGGAAAAGGAGACAAAGGTGTAAGTGGAACGAAGAAGGTTGAAATCGAGAGCCCAGAAAAGAGCAGCGGTGAAGAGCCTCATTCAAGAAGCTGCGGGGCTTTTGAAAAGGCTGTGGGGATCAGAGCTGAGTTGCTGATGATGGTGACAGGAGGTGGAGGTGCTGCTGGCAGGGGCCCACGAAAGAGGAGGTGCACCGGCTGCGCCGTTCGATGGAAAGCATCAACTGTCGAGAGGAGAGACCCGGCCGGTTTGGTGGAGAATGCCCTAGAAGTCAAGGCATCAAGCTCCACCAGCAATCCTATGTGAGGGACTTGATAGAGAGGCATCATGTGCAGGCCGGAGGTGCTGGAACTAGTATTGGACTGCGGTGGCCTTATCAACGGTGGAGAGCAAGCTCCTGGGGGTGGCATGCTTGGTGAAGGAGATGAAGGACACGGGCGTGGCCCTGCGGCTTTTTGAGTGATAGCAGCGCAGCTCTTGCGATCGTGAATTGGAATTGGAGGATGATGCCTAGCCAGTCAGAGAAAGAGAGCTGGAGACGCACCACATCTCGGGAGGGAGAGCGCCTGATAACTGATTGATGCACCAGGCAACTTGGAAGTGTGCTCTTCAGAAGGTTCACAAGGAGCCCCTGCTGATGACGTCAGAGGAGGAAAGCGCCCGAAGGTCCAGCGAATTGCGGTGAAAAGGTCCGGAAGACGCTGGGGGTGGATGGCGAATCTGATGGGGACATCGTGCTGGCGCTCTTCATCATGGAGATTCTGGTCTTCGTGCATCTGCGCCAACGAGGCTGTTGTCGTTCCGGTGGCTGGCCCAGTGGTCTTTACCGCTTGGAGGTCAGCGTAGGAACAATGAACCAGGAGTTCAAGAGTGAGATAAAGGTGATGGTGCCGAACTGCGGGGCATCGCCCAGCTGGTATGGGAGAAGAACGAGCAGCTCAAGGTGAAGGCAGCGGATTTGCCGCCAGATGAGAGAGAGCGAGAGACAGAGAGACTGAGTAGAGAGAGACAGAAAAACAGAAAGACAAAGAGACAGAAAGACAGAGATGACAGAGATGACACAGATGACAGAGATGACAGAGATGACAGAGAAGACAGAGATGACGGAGATGATGGAGATGTCAGAGGTGATGGAGACGACGGAGATGACAGAGATGACGGAAATGACAGAGATGACAGAGATGACAGAGATGACAGAGATGACAGAGAAGACGGAGATGACAGAGAAGACAGATATGACAGGCATGACAGAGATGACAGAGATGACAGAGAAGACGGAGATGACAGAGATGACAGATATGACAGGCATGACGGAGATGACAGAGATGATGGAGATGTCAGAGGTGATGGAGATGACGGAGATGACAGAGACGACAGCGATGACAGAGACGACAGAGATGACGGAGATGACAGAGATCACAGAGATGATAGAGATGACGGAGATGACAGAGATCACAGAGATGACAGAGATGACAGAGATAATAAATAACAAAAAAAAACACGGAGATGACAGATATGACAGAGATGACGGAAACAACGGAGAGGAAAAGATGACAGAGATGACAGAGATGACAGAGAGACAGAGCGACAGGAAGCACTCCCAAGGAAGACGGAGGATCGCCCGAATCTCAATGCTTTGAGGAGGGTGGTCGAGGACATGCCGGCCTACTGCAGGAGGATGGTGGTCGGTTGGTGGAATCGCAGTTTGGGCGTGGTCCAGGCAGAGAACCTCCTCGGTGAAGGAGCGGCAAGTGATCGTGGTCGGGAGGTGGTCGGGCGACGAGGAGCGAGAGGACCATTGGCAGGTCCACCTCAGCAGGCGGGCACCGCCAGGTTGACTGTGAACATGGTGGAACCGCGGAGGTGACTGAGCTTCTCCATGAGAATGGGGAGCCTACGCTTTCGTCATGTACCAGAGGAACTTCGTCTGGAGCTGCGTTGGAACTGAACCAAACCCCGAGCGGCCCCGACGTGTGGATGCCAGTAGGCCCTGGTCACGAGCTAAAACGTGGATGACCTCACGGTAGATGAGGACCTGAGGAGGGAGCCTTGAATCTGAATCCGTTGGCATGGATAGCCCCTTTGAGCATCAAGGCAGTCACGAACAGGACGTTGGCTGCCTACCCGTCTTTACCTTGAACCTTGATAAACCACATCATCATGAGAGACGCAGTTGCACAAAATCATGGACCTAGAAGAGTCCGGAAGGCAACGCGATCAGCCTCCCGCTGCGACTCGAGATACTCCTGCAGCACCTAACAAGGGATTCCATCAAGTGATAACTTGCAGCTGGACAATGATTCGTCAAGTGGGAAATTTGCTATTTTCAGATGTGTCATGGTCAACATTTCTTATATGGCTCATGGTCATGGTTCCCTTGATGAGAATCAGTACAATGCTTATTAAGGATCCTTGCTACCTGTTCCTGGTAACCCTAAGTACGAGGGGGTCTTCAGACTTTAGACCATGGCACAAATGCTGCCGCCGCCCCTGGCCTTGTTCTCTTCCTGACAACTCCTGGACAGCTTGGGGCAAGAGGCAAAAGATCCCCGTGTCTTGGGCATGGCGAGCGGGCGAGGCACGATGCGTGTTCAATGACCTGCCTGCTTTGCACTTCCAAACTCTCACGCCGCTTTCTTAGCTGCAACACCTGACTCGAGGCGAAGTCGGCCTAGGCAAGCCCTGGAGCTCCCACTTGCCAATGGCTCAAATATGCTAAAAAGCTGTGCATGCATGCACTTGCTTAGTAAGACTTCTGCAAACTTGGCCCAGGCTTGACTTCATGGCTATCTGATGCGATCAGTGCAACTTCATGTCCAAACAACTCCCTTCGAAACGAGCAAGAGCCTTGGATTCAGCAGGCCCACCTGGCAGCGGAAGCCCTTGACATCCCTTCATTAATCTCGCCGCCCGACCTGGGTGTGGGGCCCTCGCGAGCCTCGGCAGTGTTTGCCATGCGTCTTCGTTGAGGCGACGAAGAGGGCCCTGCCCCTCAAGAGCCTGGACTCGCCATTGCAGGCTCGCAACCTGGCAACGACCAGCAAAGAGCCTTTGGGCGTCCATCTCATGTTCTCAGTTCAACACTTTGCTGCTTGGCCGGTCACTCGTAGGTCAATGGCAACTCAAACAATAGCTTCCTTCTGAATGTGGACGTGTGTCTCTGTGTATAGGCGTAATTATGTGTGTGTGTGTGTGCAAGGAAGCCCGCAAAGAAACGTGGGTATGGTGACAGCGCAGAGAGGGACACGGAGAAGAACGATCGCACAGAAAAGTAAACAGAGAACACACACCGTGTTTGCGTCAGAGATTGCTGAGGAAGGGATAGTGAGCGAAGATAGAATATCAGCTGTCTCTTGGAGTTAATCTGCTGGGTCACAATGGCAACAGCCAGGATGGGATACTGAAAGCCAGGGAGCGAGGGAAAGGGGGCCACCTGTCCTCATCCCACATTGAATGATAGAAAGTAGATGGGGGGACAATGAAGGGGAGAAGCGATCGGGCGACGAAGCCTCGCCAGACAGTAAACTGTCCAGAAAGTAGCGCAGACCCTTTACATTGCCATTGCACATGAGATATCACATGAAATTTGTTTGTGCACACGCAAAGACCCCGCAGAGCTGTAGAGCCATAGTCTGAGAAAGGAAAAATGTGGCTGCGCGCACTGAACATGCTCAGCGTGCACACGGGTGTTGCAACTGTTGGCATGAAAAACTGAGATGTTCGCCCAGGGGCCATGAGACTGTACTTCGAGTGCTTTTGTACTGAAAATCTGCTAATTAGTTTCATGCTGAGGGAGTGTGCATCGCGTACTTCCCTCAAAATTGTGAGTGTAGCTTGGAAAGCCCTCCTGCGGACCAGAGGGCAGTCGATCCCAAGAGCAAGCGCACAAACCACGGCAACTTCCGAAGACATCCATGAGCACCAAAAAGCACTCAAATACTTGGGGTTTCACACATCGACCTGTGCGAAGCTCACTCCTGCAGCTCCAGCTTAGCATAGAAACTTTGCACCAAGGAGCTTGCCGCTAATGCTTTGGGCCACTCGTCTAATTCTTTCAAGCCCCATGGCCAGTCAGCCTTCTTGCTGGTCAGTGTCCTAGTGTTTCGGGAAGGCTTTCTTCCTTTGCATGTCCTTGGCAGTCTGACTCCACGCATCTCCGTTGGAGCTAGACCCCTCCACCTCCCAGCGCTGCCGAACCTCCTGCTTCACCTCCCGCAGTCCAGCCAGGAGGGCCTTGCTGCGTTCCTGCACGCGCTTCAACAAGGCTTCACCGCTTGCTGTTTCCTGGAGCCACGCCATGAAGCCTCTCACCACAAAACATGGAGCTACGTGCCAACTCGGCCAGTCACGTCCTGAGCGCGGTTGCGGCCATCTGCCATGGCACGGCATCGTTGCTGTGCCTGCAGAAAAACATCCGAGCCCAACATGCTCCCGACCCAAGAACTCAACATTGCGGAAGCTCAAAGCCCCAAGCTGCCCACAAAGAGGCGCCCAGTCGGTGAGGGCACCCAGGCACGGATCCTTAGCGTGGCGCCTCTGCCTCCTCACGCTCGGCAGCTTCCTGAATGAAGCACGCCTGGCAAGCTGAACCCCTGCCCGGACAGCCCGGACCGTCTTGAAAAAGAAGTGCGCCTTCTCTGCAAGTTGTTGCTGCAGGCCTCTGGCCCGATCCAGCGCACCCAAACGCTGCTGCACCTCTGCCAACTCATGGCTGTCTCAGTTGTTGCGCATGCGCTTCTCTCGCTCTCTCCTGGTTCCGACTGCCAGGTTTCTAACAAACCTCTGCGAACTTCAAAGGAGTGCCCAAGTCCGCCGACACGCGAAGTTCAATGCACATTCCTCCACCAGTTGCCAACACTTTGCCCGCGACGGAATCCCTCTCTTGATGTCAAAATGCAGCACTTGCAAAGACATAGACTATCTTCGCATCTCATCCCTACGGCCCTACGTCCTGATTTCGGGCCAATGCTGACAAGGCGCAGAACCTGGAGCCATGGATGACTCAGCGCTCATCTCACGACCCAAGCGCTCGGATGGCGCTTGGTTAGGATCGAGTACATGCCATGCTGACATGAGGCTGCTTTGAGCCTTATGACTCTGCCCAAGGATGGCCCTGCATAGGCAGCGCAAATGCACAATTTGACTGCTATCGCATGTATGGATGGTTGAAATTGTGTAAACATCCTACAAGCAGAATCAGTGTTCTGTAAGCTGCTGTTATTCTAGTATGAAACTAGACCTGGCTTGATATGTGGAACGCTCAGCCGTGGATGCAACAAAGCCAGCGCCTCAAGCCGAATCTGGGGACTTGCGCTCGTGTGTCGCACAGCCTGCCTTGCCAATTTTGCCGGCGTGCTAGATTCCGTTTGGATTTGACACTCGTGCAAACGAGAAAGCTTCAGCCTTTGACTAGAAGTTCACTCGCAACAACCAGTGAATGTAAAAGTTGAAATGCCATGCCCATAGCAGCTGTTGCACCCTATCGGATGTGATGCAGAGGAGTCTAACGTGCAGGCCAGCGCTTGATCATGTGAGTCAAACTAATATCTGAGTGATTGGTAGTTTTCACTACAAGTGGCATAAAACCCAGGATGCAAACGCTGCAGGTGTTTGCAGAACAGAAACTTCACTTCACAACCAGCTCAGTCACACACAAGAGCGTCCATGCCCTCTGGTACATGAAAGATTCACGAATCCAGAATAGCGGATCCACTATCCTGCGTCCCTAGAACAGGACACGCCAAGAGTCGGGGCTCTCTCGCTCGTTCAAGGTGTAAGCTGTACTCTGCGCGAACTCCGTCGCATCGATGCCTTCCTCCTCACACCTCTCATCGACACGAAGACATCCAAAGCAGGCTGAGATTCGAAAGAACGCAAAGGAGATGGTGCCCGCCCAGGCCACGATGGTTACCCCGGCAACCAACTGCACCAACAACGCCGCACCTAGCAAAGCCCACGTCGTCAAGACATCTGAAATAAAGTCATAGGTACACGCAAAATGGACAGACAAAAATGAACAAACAAATAGACAAATAGAAGACAAGCGACTCTTCGCATCGACAATGCAGTCGCTGTAGCCCCAGCACGTCCAGCCATTGCCGCCATGATAGCGCTCCAGTCCGCCCCAGTCGAAAATTGCAGCTGCAAGAACTCCCCATAGGCCGCACGCCCCATGAACAGGGGAAGCCTTGCAATTGCAGAGTACTGGCACCCAAGTGTTTCAGAAAGAAAGAGAATCAAGAATGTGTTGGGCACCAACTCTCGTCTGCATCAAAAACAAATAGCAAAACAATGCAATGTAGATGCAAAGCAGCATCGACTGGGTCGTCAATCTGCCACCTGAGAAGCAAGTGACTAGTAGCCAGGTAAAAACAAGCACCCAGGGTTGCAGTGACAAAGGCAGCGCCAGCATTCATGTTGGCACATCCCGCCGTGATGGAAACACATCCTGCAAGGACTCCGTTGCAAAGCCCCGTGAGGTCATACTTCTTGATTAATGCCAGCCTTATCAGAATCGTTGTCATGCCGCCTGCAGCTCCTGCAATGACAGTATTCATCACCGCCTGTGCAGTCAAGGCTGCTGTATCTGAATCATGCAGCGCTCCAGAGGAGCCTGCGTTGAAAGCCAGCCATCCCGCCCACAGGAACAGAGTGCCGAGCACAACCAAGGGCAGATTATGAGCTTCAAAGCCAGCAGGTTTCAAGAATCGGTTGCCTCGTGGGCCCAAAATGGATGCACCGACCAATGCCGCGGTGCCACCAGTCAAATGCACAACTCCACTCCCCGCAAAGTCTGTGTAGCCAACTTCGAGAAGGGTGGATAACCATCCACCGCCCCATGTCCAGGACACAATCACGGGATAAACAGCGGTGGACATGAGAAAGGTGAAGACAGCAAAGTTTGAACATTTTATGCGCTCCGCCACTCCACCACTCACAATGCTAGCTGTGGTGGTGCAGAATGCCCACTGGAAGAACCAATGCACCAGCTTTGAGGTGCAGCCCTCGTCACATGTTTCCGCGTAGGTCAAAGCGCCCCCATTGCCCCCACTCACGAGGAGGTCTTCGCCCACGAAACCTGTGGTGCCCACCAGACCGTGGTAGGAAGTGCCGAAGGCCAGTGCCCAGCCACAAGCCCACCATGCCACGGACCCCACGCACAAGCCCAGCACGTTTTTGATCAGAACGTCAGAAGCATTCTTGGCCCGGCAACTCCCGCTCTCCACCATTGCAAATCCAACGTGCATAAACATGCAAAGTGTTCCGCATGCCAGCAACCAAATGGTGTCTAGTGCGGTGGACTGCGAGGCAGCCTGCTCCCTAGCTTCTTCCACCTGGCGTCAGCGCAGTGATTGAGGTTGTCTCAAGCACTCATGTTTGAGTGAACCAGTCCCCCCCCCCCACCCGACCCCCCACCCCAGACCCCCGGACCGCACGTCCCAAAAGGGCCAGCGTTCCACGGCAACGACAAGAGTGCCACCAATGCGCCTTCTGCAGAAGCTGCTGATTAATGTCATCTGCAGACTGCAACTGCCTCTCCTTGGCAACAACAACAAAAAGAAATGACTCGAACGACTCGCATGATACTAGACAGAGTACGAAAGCCAAAGGGGAAGAGAAAAGATAACAAAGGAAGCCAAAAGGGAAAGAACTGGAAAAGCAAGAAGAGAAAGAAACAAAGAGAAAAGAAAGGAAAACAAAAGAAAGTGAAGTAAACAAGAGGAAAAACGGAAAAGCAATGACATGAAAAACTGAGGATAAACAGAATAGAAACGACAGAAAAGAATGCAAAAGGAAGAAACAACTGCAAAAAGAAAGAAACAACAGAAGAGAAAACTGCAAAAGAAAGAAACGACGGACAGAGGTGGCTAGAAAGAATGACTGGGAAAGTTACGCGGGAAGAAAACAAACAACCAAACAAACGAAAAAACAAAAAGAAATAAGGAAAGAAGAACGAAAAGGACACAATGAAAAAACAAAGAAACTTGAAAGAAAAGAAATCGATACTGAAAAATTCAAGACAAGAACGCTGGAAAAGTAGAGAAAACATAATAGAAAAGAACAAAGAAGGAAGAGAGAGAGAGAGAGAGAGAGAGAGAGCACCACAAATGAAGTACAACGCAACGCAAGAAATGAAATAATGACTTGACAAGAACAGAAGGAAAGCGCCGAAACAATTGGACTGCTCTAAAAACGCAGAATCCAAAAACAGAACTGATAAAGGGAAACAAAAACAAAAACAAGACAGGACAAAGCAAAAAACAGAACAGATCTGCTGAAAACAAAGAAACACAAGGAAATAAGGACATTGGATGAAACTAATTAGGAAAGACATGATTGACAAAGTTTAAGCAGAGAAAGAAGAGAAAGAATTGAGCAATCAAGAAAGGAGAAAAGAGTGAAATGATGGCAAAAAGATGACTGGACAATTGCAGAAAAAAAGGAGAAAGGAAAACAAAGAAACAAAGACCAGAAAGTAACAAACGAAGGATTGAAAGAAAGAAAGGGCTAGAATAGCCAAAAAACAAACATTCACTGAATTCAGAGGATGGAAAGAAAGGAAAAAAAAGAAAAGAGGCCAACAGAATACGAGGGAAAATGAAAGAGCAAAAAGAAAAGAAGTGAGTAGGAATAAAGAAAGAAATGGCTGGAAACACTTAAGAAAACAACCGCGCATAGGCAAGACAGAAAAGAAAGAAAGAAAGAAAGAAAGAAAGAAAGAAAGAAAGAAAGAAAGAAATAAAGAAAGAAGAAAGAAAGCAAGAAAAAGAAAGAAAGAAAGCAAGAAACATAAAGAAAGAATGAAAGAAAGAAAGAAAGAAAGAGAGAGAGAAAGACACAAAGAAAAGCAATAACACCACAAATAGAAAAAAAAGGAGGAAAAACGGAAACAGACGGAAAACATGCTTGGAAAAGTTGAGAAAGGATTGAAAAGAAATATTTCAGAACAAGAAACACAGAAAGAAAGAAAGAAAAAAGTAAATGACTGGAGAGGCTAAGGAAACAACTAAGGATTAAAAAGAATGCCGAGAAAGAAGGAAGAACAAAAAGAAATGACTGGACAAGCTGGGTAAGAAAGAACAGGAAAACTCGGCGACAAACGCTACCAGCACAAACCCCAGATAGCGTTGGAGATTACAACAGCATCCTGACAAGCAAGCTCTTTAAGCAAGGTTGCTGAGCAGGCTGCTCTGCCCAAGTTAGTCCAAGGGCTCCGCACGGAACAACCCTTAGAGCTGAGTTCGGGAAAGACATACTCAAAAAGAAAGAAAGGAAAGGAAAAAAATGGTAATCCTGAAAATATGCAAGAAAGAAACAAAGCAAGAAATACAGAAAGGCGGAACGAACTAAAAAGGAAAGAAAGAAAGAAAGAAAGACGGAAAGAAAGAAAGAAAGAAAGAAAGAAAAAAGAAAGAAAGCAAGAAATACAGGAAGGGAGAACGAACAAAAAAAGAAATACAGAAAGACAGGAAGGAAGAAAGAAACACAAACAGAAAGATCAAAAACAATAACGAAAGCAAGAAAAGGAGAAAGAAAGAAAGAAAGAAAGAAAGAAAGGAAGAAAGGAAGAAAGGAAGAAAGGAAGTAAGAAAGAAAGCAAGAAAAATAATCCCACGCAGAAAGGAAAGAAAGAAAGACCGAAAGAAGGGAAAAATGGGCGGAACAAGCCAAGGAGAAAGACAAGGGAAGGAAAAAGAACGAACGAATTATAAATGAAGTGGAGATAAATGTTGGACCTCCTTTAGTAATTTGGCCCTGCATTGTAGAAAACTGCTTTCCAATTCAGGATCCTATGACTGTTTTGGGGCCCTCTAGTGTGGAAAGCTGCTTTTGCGGAAAAGAACATCTGGAGAACATAAAATAAGATCAATAATAATAATAAATGGCAAAAAAAAACTGGCAAAAAAGAAAAAAAAAGAAAAAACGTGCAAAAAAACACCAAACATATCCGGGCAGTCACAGGAATTCAACTATTGCAGTGGTCCCCAAACTATAAAATTCACATGATCTATTTACAAAAAAGTACGGGCAAATTGTCAGACAAAGTGGGTTGCCCACAAGAGGCCAAGATCCTCTTTAACGTGACTGTTTGGGGACCCTCTGTAGAGTCCCACTCCTTGCGGGGTTGCTGAGATTCCCAAATCAAAGCCTTAGCCTTTTATTTTCAAAGAGTGGTTCACGCACTTATCCAATCTTTCCAGCCCAAAGGGTAAAGACCTTGATACTAAACAAAGTACCGGGAATCTGAGAATAGGGCTTGGCAATACTAGACTAAGTGCTGGGAATCTCACTGTTAGTCTTGGCAATACTAAACTTAGACTTGGCAATTCTAAATGAAGTAAGTACGGGGAGACGGTGAGTTAGTTTTGGCATTACTAAGTTTAGTTTTGGCAATGCTACAGTAAGTACGGGGAATCTGAGAGTTAGACTTGTCAGTACTAAAGTAAGAACAGGAAATCTGAGAGAGGATTACTAAAGCAAGTACGGGAAATCTGAGAGTAAGTCTTGGGATTACCAAGTCTATTCTTGGCAATACTAAGTAAGTGCGGGGAATCTGGGAGTTAGACTTGGCAGTACTAAAATAAGTACGGGAAGTTCTGAGAGTAAGTCTTGGCACTGCCAAGTTTAGTCTTGGCAATACTAAAGTATGTCAGGGGAATATAAGAGATAGAAATGAGAATACTAAAGTAAGTACGGGCAATCTGAAAATAAGTCTTGGCATTGCCAAGCTAAGTCTAAGTCTTGGCGACGCTGAAGTAAGTACGGGAAACCTGCCTGAGAGTTAGACTTGGCAGTACTACTGTAAGTATATGAAATCTAAGAGTAAGTCTTGGCAGTACAAAAGCATGTGCGGAAACTCTGAGAATAAGTCTTGGCATTACCAAGTTTAGTATTGTCAACACTAAAGTAAGTGCGAGGAATCTGAGAGTTAGACTTGGCAGTACTAAAGCAAGTACAAGTTTAGACTTGGCAACACTAGAGTAAGTACGGGAAATCTGAAAGCTGGACTTGGCAACCAAAGCAAGTACGGGAAAACCAAAAGTAAGTCTTGGCATTACTAAGCTTTGTCTTGGCAGTACTAAAGTACGTACGGAGAATCTGAGAGTTAGACTTGGCAGCACTAAGTAAGTACAAAAAACCTGAGTGCAAGTCAGTAAGTACGGGGAAACTGGGAGTTAGACTTGGCAGTACTGAAGTAATTGCAGGAAATGTGAGAGTAAGACTTGGCATGACTAAGCTTAGTCTTGGCATGACTAAAGTAAGTACGGTGAATCTGAGTTAGACATGGCAGTACTAAAGTAAGTACGTGAAGTCTGAGAGCAAGACTTGGCATTACCAAGTTTAGTCTCGGCAATACTAAAGTACGTACGGATAGTCTGAGAGTTAGACTTTGCAGTACCAAAGTAATTACGGGCAATCTGAGAGTAAGTCTTGGCATTGCTAAGTGTAGTCTTGGCTATACCAAAGTAAGTATGAGGAATCTGAGAGTTAGACTTGGCAGTACCAAAGTATGTACGGGAAATCTGAGAGTAAGTCTTGGCATTACCAAGTTTAGTCTTTGCAGTACTAAAGTATGGGGAATCTGACAGTTAGACTTGGCAGTACCAAAGTAAGTACGGGAAATCTGAGAGTAAGTCTTGGCATTACCAAGTCTTGTCTTTGCAATACTAAAGTACGTACAGGGAGTCTGAGAGTTGTTTGTCTCGGCAATACTAAAGTAAGTATTGGGAATCTGAGAGTAAGACTTGGCAGTACCGAGTTTCGTCTTGGCAATACTAAAGTAAGTACGGGGAATCTGAGTTTCGGGCGGAGGGGGTCACATTAAAGTGGGTCCAACGTAGATCGAGAAAGCCCCGCCTCAATGCGCTGGCGAAGCTGCTGCACCTCCAGCCGCAGCTGTGCCAGCTCATCTGAGGCTGCCCAATCCTCAGAACAACATCTGAGGCAAACCAACAAGCGCCTTCCGTTCAAAAAAGGGCCAAACGGGCCAACGGGCCAACGGGCCAAGCTTGCCAACCAACTCAAACAAAGCATTGAGGCAGCTGGCCCAAGCACAAAGCATCCTGTGACATCGTCCAAGCTTCGAGCAGCAGAATGACTGCAAGTAGTCGCATTTTCTGACTGCCCCAGCAATGCCGCTGGCACACTGGGTAACTGTGGAGCTCCTATAAGTACACGTTTTCAACGTCATGGAGCCAAAAGCTGCACAATGTAGCCAACATCTCGCAGCAAGATTACTTGGATTGACATAAGTCATGCTTTATCTGATCGCAAGCAATGAGTTGCATCGCACGCTTGCATGATCACTTGCCGGAAGTGTTTCCTGTGCTGCAGGGAGGTGCTTTGACGGCGGAAACTGCATGCTGCATCTTCGATGCCATGCAGGAAAACCCTGTGGACTGACATCTTCGATGGCAGTCCAAAACGCAGGAATCACTTTCCGTCCAAGTCGTAGGCTACTTGGGCATGTTCAGTATGGTCGACGCCAGCCTCTTCCGTGCGCTGCTCAACACGAATTTGACCAGCCAAAGATGCGGAGATCAGAATAATCCTGAGCTGGCCATTTGTCTCACACGTCTCATACAACATGACAGCAAGCACTCCAAAATGCAAGACGGGCTAAGACAAGACTCAGAGAGAGGGAGAGCACCCAACCAAGTATTGCGACCACTGTGATAAGCTGCGCCAGAAGTGCACTGCCAAGTATGCCCTTCTCGCAATTTGGTGCCGACGCGCAAGTCCAGCCTCTCAGGCCGTGGAAGTGCCCCTGCGGGACACCCCAATCGAAAAGAACCGCCGCCATGGTGCCCCAAACTCCACAGGCTCCATGCACTGCGCTGGCATCTACAGGATCATCGATTTGAAGCTTGACCAGAAGCGAGGAAAATATGCAATACACACCACCGCCCAAAGCGCCCACGCAAACAGCACTAAAACTGGTCATATTGGCACAGCCAGCGGTGATCGAAACGAGACCTGCCAGAATGCCATTGCACAATCCAGAAACGTCATACCTGCCCGCTTGAAGAAGACGTAGAAAAAAGACCGTTACGCCGCCAACTGCACCAGACATCACGGTGTTCACTGCCACCTGGGCTGCCAAGGCCGCTGTGGAGGCATCGTGCAAAGACAGCGTGGAGCCCGCATTGAAGCCGAACCAGCCGAACCATAGGATCCTTAGCACCAAACACGTGCCTTGGAAACTTTGTGCTCTCACAAGTCCGAGGGCTACCTGAAAATGCTTCCCAAGACTCAAGGTGCCCATAACAACCAGGGGCAGACTGTGAGCCTCGAAAGCTGCAGGATCTTCGAAGCGGCCACGTCGAGGTCCCAGCATGATAGCGCCGGTCAGAGCACCCATGCCTCCTGTCAGATGCCTTAGGCAAAAAAAAACACGCACGCTGCATTTTCCTTCAATGCACTCAGGGTGCAAGATGTCAACTTCCCTGCCCTTGCCCTCTCAATCGGCTTTCTTGCACAAATAGCCTCCCACTAGCGTTGCATCGGCCACAAAACCCGGCACTCTGTCAGGCATCAACCTATCTTGCCTTCTCATCATCTCAGGCGTTGCAAGAGAACCAAGAACCATTATAATATATGATCAACGCTCTCCTTGAGCAACTCCCGGTCTTCACGTTACTTGGGCTCTTTGACACCCCGAAGCTGCAAGTGTGTTCATGCCTGTGGAGGTCGGCGAACCTGAGATCTGGTGGCCACTTGACTCTTGCTACCCGAGCTTTGAACCGACTCAAAATTCATGAGGGCAAACAGTGACATCGAACCCTGGAGATACCTGCATTCCTCAATTTGGTACATGTAGGTGCAGGTCGTCCGCCGCGCGGAAAGTAAATCAAGCCCTCCTCAACGCAGGACCTTAATACTTGTCCTTCAAGCTTATGCACCCTTAATTCTATATTTCGTGCCCCATGCAATACCATAATAATTCAATATTCACATAGCCCTTCCATATCGCCAGCTCTCAATCATCAACACCCCTAAAAATGTTCCGACCTCTCGAATGTGGATCGGTCCACGCACTAAAGACGGGAATAGAAACGTGGCCCCAGCATCTGCAAGATATCTGCCCGCTTCTCACATGGATTGATTGCTACTTTCTGGTTCATCCGCTCCGCTGCTCCGGCCCACCCACTGCTGCCAAAGCCACACAACTGCGCTGCCAGCAAAGTCTGTGAAGCCCACGCCCAAGAAACTTGACAGCCAACCACCACCCCAGGTCCAGGCAACAACACCTAGGATAAAGGCTATGTTCAGTGCATGGTCAGTCACAAAACCTCCTGCCAGGTCAGCTTCCGGGCTTCACGGCAACCATTTGCCCCGTGAAGGAGTGCATTTCGCATAGGCGGAAACAATTAGTTAGTGCCGAAAGTCCTGGAATGTTCCCGGCAAATTTGTGAACAGAATCCCCCCCAAGACAAAGCACATGCAGCAAGAACAATTGCTGCGGCGTTCGGCACAAGAGCGCGAGCAGCTTTCGACCCATATGCAAAAGTCTGTAGAGGGGCTTCCATGAACTGCAACACATTGTCTCTGTCGTTCTTCACAATCGCAGCTTGCTGATGTGCAAAGGCATGTCACGCTCATGTAGCAACTAACTTACAGCTGTTCGCCGTTTTCAAAAATGCGGCATCCTGCAGCATCCTTACTGTGAGGACCCAAACCCACCGACCCTCTAGTCGAGCGCATCCTGCTTTGCCCCTTTCAGCCATGCTTCGTGCTCGTGGCAAATCTTCCTGAGACTGTCTTTCGTGTTTGGTATTGAGTATTGACAGTATTGAGGTCTCATGTCAAGCTTTCCTCAGGTTTCCTGTCCCATCGCACTGGGTAGCCCCTTTTAACCAATCAAGCAGGTGAAAACAGGCCTGTTGACCCTTTAGAGCAGGTTCTGAGCCCGACCGTTCCGGTCATCTGACGCGGTGATCATGGCGCGCTCGGGGAAGAGCTGCCTATAACCGATGATCCTAAAAAAAATCAACCCGGAGATGACAGAGCCGAAGATCCTTGAGCTCTGGAATTCTGTGAGGCCCGATTGCCTAAGGTCCTGGACACCGAGAGCGAGAAGGGGTGGGCATCCGGAAGCTGCCGGCAGTAGGACAAGACGGAGGAGTTTTGAAGTGAAGCCTCATGGTCGACCTGGAGAATGCAAACACGGGCAACGGTGATGGAGGTCAAACCCAACTGCCCGGTGATGGACATGAAAGTTTACAAGAAGGTCAACCACTACAGCCTGGCAATGGAAAGGGTCGACGGCTTGAAGGCGTGACTGGCGAGCTCTATGGCCTGGTGACGGTCCTGGAGAGGTTGAGGGTTGGGGTCGACCGGGTCAAGACCTACAGCCAGGTGACAGGAAGATTCGGACCCGGAGTTGAGGCAGAAAGACTATGGGAAGCCGCGTGCATGTGAACATGAAACATGGGTGGTAGAGGACATACCCTACTACCATGGTGGAGGTGGGACAATCCTGGCCAGCCAGTGGGTGATAGGCGAGCGATACTACAAGGAGGTGGTAGAGGACGCAAGAAATCTCTGAACCTGGACTGTGCGTGGCTCCCTGAACAACCGAGACCTGCAGCCGCTGACTGTGATGTGGACCTGATGAAGAAATGGAGCGAAACTTCGGGTTGTCGTACCGCAAGATCCGGAGCAGAGAAACCACTCGTTTCAGATGATCCAGGTCGTGGAGAAGGAGGTCGCAGACCACCCCTCCGAGGGGAAGGTCATGCGATGAACGCTAGTACCAAAATCAAGATTATGCAGGGGCTGCAGACTCCGGGAGGAACCAACCGACGGCCGAGATGGAGGTTGGCCAACGGTGGGAAACCGCGGTTCTGTGGCGATTGGTGCGGTCAGCAGGAATCAGCGCCTTCGCTCATGCAATCCCCCAACATCAAAGGTGAATGGTCATACACACAAAGCAGATCACTGTGGACATGCCGGAGCGGCTCAGAACACCTCGGTTCGTCAGGACGGAGCAGCGGGGCGACACTGCTCTTGAAGGCGGTAGAGGGATAACATCTACGGGAGTCCTGTATCGGCTGCTAGTGACATGTCAGCCAGGCAAACAGGAAAGATCTCTCATTCTCAAGCTCGCGGATTTGGGAATGCGAGGATGGCAGCGGCAACTGCACTGGAGAAGGTGACGCAGTTGCTCAAGGGCGGCGCTCAAGCCTTCAGGGTGGCCCACAGGCGCGGGGTTTGGATACAGCCCTCATGCCTGCGATCTGGAACTCGGAAGTGGAGTTGGACACCGCGAAGCTCCTGGAAGTGGAGACAGGCCGGCCGCAAGAAGGCAATCTGTGGTGGAACCGGTTCTGCCGAGGAGTCAGGCCATCATAAAACAATGGTCTGGATCTGCCAAGAAAGAGGGGGCCACATTCAGTTGCAGGTACCTCCTCACGGAGAATGGCCGGACGGGCAGAAGCGGCAAGTGGCCGCACGAGTGGGAAGCGGACAAGGCAGTAAGGTGCTGGATATGTGGGGCAATCCTAGAAAAATAGAGTGCCCTGTGCAGGGCTCTGAGATGAAGCCGACGATAAATGCGCGAGCCGGGAGTTGGCTCGACAGCTCTCACAGTAAATGGAAATGGAACTGCACCAACGACGGCGGCTACCATCGGAGCGGGGCTGCGAATGCAACAGGAGGTGGGGGAACGGGTGAGCTGTTCCCGGAAGCCACTAGCTTGCCTCGATGCTTACACCTGCTCAACTTGAATGCGGACATCTTCACGAACCAGGTGGGAGATGCTGGCCTTGGTCTGCTGGATGGAGGAGCTACACAGAGGTTGCGGAAGTGGATAAAGTGCAAAGATGAGGAACAAGCCTGACCAAGCCGGACACCTTGACGCTGCTGTCGGGGATGAGCACTCAGGTGATTGTGCCGATGAGTGCGATGACGGAGGCTACGTGGTGGTCTGGACCAATGGCAGGCGCTCCTATCACGATGTCCTGTGGTCGCGGCCGTGGGATCTGCTCGAGCACAAGGCAATGCTTTGGAAGATGGCAGTGTAGGGCCAGGTGAACGTAACGGACCCGAGCGAAGAGGCCATGCTCAAGGAGACAGGAAGATCTAGCCCACAGAGTGGGCTACAACAGAAGTGTGTCTGTGTGTGTGTGTCTGTGTCTGCGTCTGTGCCTGTGCGCGTCAACTTCTCCAGTCTCTTCTTCCATGTCGGCACAGTATGAACAACTGCGTACATGTTGCAAGAAGAAAGCAAGAAGGACACATCCAATGCTTGACATGTGCTCCGCTAGCTCTTGCACCATCATGTTTAGCAATCAGAGCTAAGCTCAAACATGATGTCGGCTAACACAACCTGTTCCCTGTCTACTTTAACACAAATGCAAGAAACAGAATTCGCAGTCACGCCACGGCAGCAAGTATACTGTTTGCAACTTGACATCTGTGTGGCTGGAACAGGCAAAATCAGTGTACTTCAGCCAGGGAAAAACTCTTTTAGCCAAGATGCCTGGATAAATCAAGGCAGACATCGCGAAGGAGTAACAAAGGTAGGAAGCCGTTCTTGCTCGCTCAGCTACACCACCACTCACGATGCTCACGCAAGTAGTGCAAAAAATCCATTGGTAAAACCACATGACCATCTTACTGACACAGTTGGGTTCTTCGCAGATCTTGGCAGGCTGAATTAAACTCCCGGAGCTCTGCAAAAAATTCGACGTCGCAAAGCCAGAAGTGCCTATAAATCCATAGATCTGATCGCCGTAGGCTAGCGCCCAACCACAGAGCCACCAGCCCACACTCCCCACACACATGTTCATGACGTTCTTCAGGAGAACGCTCGAGGCACTCCGTGCTCTGCAGGCGCCTGCAAGAAACTCAGAATCAATCGATGGTGCCACAGGCAACGAGCTGTCTCAATGAAAAATGGTCAACCAACTTTTAAATAGGCGAAGGATGCATCCAAGCCCTCAAGCCCTGCCTGTCTCCAACATAGCGAATCCTGCATGCATCAGAGATGCCACGAACCCACACACGCAAAGCCAAAGTGTATCCATCGACTCTTGGACATCGAAGTTGTGCTGCTTGAGGCCTTCCACCTGACAAAAGTCTCTCAAAGGCCTCACGTCACTTGCTTGCCAGTGGAAGCTTCTCCCACTCAAAACTTCCCACCTCTGCCAGCAGAAAGGATGGAGTAATGGAGGAGTTCGCAGCCAAATGGCGCGGCTCATTCAGCTGTGCCTCCTCAGGGTCAAAAACACACGGCAACAGGGAACGGGGGCCACTGCTCGTACCAGTGCGCCAATCCATCTGAACACTGCTGAAACCTAGGTTTGCTTTTTGGCGGGGAATAGCATATATATATATATATATATATATAGAGAGAGAGAGAGATAGATAGATAGATAGATAGATGCAGAATACATGTGCGGGTTGGAATTTGTTTGGTATTTGGTGGGAAGTCGTTGCCCGGCGCAAACTGTTGATTGAACTTACCGTGGAGGCGTGCAAAGCTGTTCCAATCAATTCCTAAAACACCCCCTTCTGACTGTCGATCCGACTTCATTACAAATTTGTGAAACTTGCTATTCCTCATTTGCTGGTCCGATTGATTGTTCACGGAGAAGAGTGTGTCATGAAAGGACTAACCCTCCTCAACCAGAATGTGCTTGAAGCATCAGTTGCAAGCACAAATGGAAGCAGAAGTCAAGACGAACAATGCCTTAACAAATGATTACTTGAAGTCCTAAGTTGTCTACAACAGCATGTATTGGGGACAAACATTCTTCTAGATATGCACACTCGAATTTAGTAGGGGAATTACTAAGCCCTGGCAACTTTATATAAACTGGAATTACACCTGATGTAGTAATCGCAGGTAGCGCGTGTGCTACAAGACATCTTATAGGGCACTAATATGAAATATTGCTAGGTAAACATGCAGTTGTAGAAGGCGCGTTTGCTGAAGTGTTCTTTTCTACGAGTAAAACAGTCACGAACAACTATTACTATCTGGGAGAGAAGGGTATAGGTAAACATAGTTCCGCAGAGCTAAGTCCGATGTACTCAGTGCAGTTTGCCGCAAATGCAGAAGAAGAAGAAATACATATGCGTTGAACTGGGCCGGTTCAACATTTAGCGAAACAAGCAACACAAGGTAGATCTCAAGTAGTTGGACTAAGATTTGGGGAAATGGACAGATATTGTATTGTGGCATATAGGACCCATGAAAAGTAAAAAGTAAAAGTCCCTGTTCAAGAAAAGGCTTTACTTTTGGGACTTGTACGCCTTACTGTTGCTGGGAAAAGCAAAAAAGTACAACTGCCTGAAGTAAAAACAAAACTTGTTACCGTTCGTAGGTTCAAAACCTTGACTTGTTGCGTTGTTTGCTTTTACTTGAGAAATGTAAAAATGGTATATGTCCGATGTAAAAAGGGGCCAATGAAAAGTGACAAACACGAAAGATTATGCATTTGTTCCTGTTGTTTTTTTCCGATTTGGCTTGAATGATGATGCAGGTAATTCTGTCATTTTTCACATGCCGGATGTAGATACATATGCATTGTCAGGGATTTGGGGTCATTGTGCCACTGGTTTAGGTGCGGAGGTGCTACATATATAGTGAAGGTTTGGGATTCATTTCAAGCTGGGACGTCACTTAGCCTTGCTCGATGTTTTCCCTTCAAGCAGGCTGCAGCATCAGGGGAAGCAAGAGAAGCCGCTGAAGACGGAGTAAATGGAGCACAGGCAAAGCAAGTGGCAGGCCAGGAAGAGGCAAGAAACAAAAAAAAAAAAAAGGAGCAGCAACAAGCGAAAGCAGCTGCAAGAGCTGCGTCCTCAGCGAAGCGGGAGGAACCACGGAAGAAGCAGGATGAGTACCCCCTGTCAAAAAAGCAACTGTACAAACTGGTTCACCCGCAAGCAAAAGACGTGACGCGTCAGCTCGGCAATTGGAATCGTGTGTCTGGGGCTCAAAGGGTGATGTGGCACACAGCCATTGTGATGTGCTGTAGCTCCTCATCAAGGTAGATTCTTTTTCACCCCCTTTCAATGACTATGTATTTAAATGAACACATAGCACGGCGCGGCCACATGGGTGCGCAGGCGAGAGCGTTGCCACAGCCTTTGATTTACCCACGGCCATCGCTCCCTCTTCAACCGTCCGGAGCCATTGCCCGGCAATGACTCCACCACAAAATGGTAGCGCCGGCAAAAACCAGCGGACATGCTCTAATCATGTTAGGCACGACGCTGACCACAGAGGCGACGCCAGCCAGCGTTCTGAAAAGTTGGGCTGGAGACTGCATGGGCGCAGCCAAATCAATCGGGGTCAAAGTCAAAACTTTATGAAAAGGAGGCCGCTGATCAAGAAACAATACTGGCAGTCTTCGCCCACGTTTGGCAAGAGCGTCCCAAAGAATCCTGAGATCTGTCCTGCAGCTTCAAGCTCTGAATTTCAGACCGCAGAGCTGCCAACTCACTGTGCAGTTCCTCAACGGAGTTCTCGATGGCACATGCTGCTGACCAAAATACCTCGCACTCATTTGACAAATCCCTGCATTCAACTGCAAACAAAATTCCTGTGATCAACAGCAAACAATGCTCAAGGTGTCTAGCATGCCTGCGTGCAGGGGTGCGCGCGTGCGCACCTGCCTGCGTGCCTGCGTGCGCTCGCGTGCGTGCGTGCGTGCGTGCGTGCGTGCGCACGTGTGTGTGTGTGTGTGTGTGTGTGTGTGTGTGTGTGTGTGTGTGTGTGTGTGTGTGTGTGTGTGTGTGTGTGTGTGTGTGTGTGTGTGTGTGTGTGTGTGTGTGTGTGTGTGTGTGTGTGTGTGTGTGTGTGTGTGTGTGTGT